GCATGTTTTCACTATCAATCCAATGCAACATAATTTCGAAATAGCCACATAGTTAAACCCAAACTTGTTCTTGGAATTTTATAGATCTATAGATAGGCCTCTTATGGTTCCAAACTAATTTATATAATCCTAAGAGACACCCCACACATTTACTTTCGGGAAAACTTTTGAAATTGGCTCAAAAGCATGGATTATGCATCAGTTTTGTACAATTTTGGAGTTGTACAGACACGAATATAAAAATATTGATGGTATAATGTTGTTCATGGACCCACAACATCCTGGCATGTTAATCCATTTGGGTGGTTTTTTTGTCTCCTTAGTGACCAAGGATACAAAGGTACAACCTATAGAAGTGATCCTACACAAGTGTGGTCGTTGGGTGGTTGAAACTAGAATTATCAATTCGGGTAAACGGGTCATATTTGGGTCGGTAAGAGTGGGGGGTCAACTTGGATCGGGTCAATTCGGATTAATTCCATAACCTATGCGAGTCGGGTTTGGGTTGGGTCATGCTTGAGTCGGGTCATGTCGGGTCATACTTCTTATCGGGTTTAGGTCGGGTTAATAACATGTCGGGTTACATTCGGGTCGGATGAACAATAGATCAGGTTTAATTCGGGTTTTCACGGGTTAGGGTAATCCTCAAGTTCGAGTCACGTTCGGTTCAAGTCAATAATTTGCGGGTTAGAATCAGGTCGGGTTATTCTCGAGTTTGAGTCGGGTTCGGTTCAAGTTAATAATTTGCTAATTATAATCAGGTCGGGTCATTCTCGGGTTTAAGTCGGGTTCGGTTCAAGTCAATAATTTGCGGGTTATAATCAGGTTGGTTCATTTCCAAGTCGGGTCATTCTCGAATTCAAGTCGGGTTATGTTCAAGTCAATAATTTGCAGGTTACAATCAGGTCAGGTCATTTCCAAGTCAGGTCATCTTCGGGTTCAACTAACTATAAATAGATAATTATCATTTTTATCAAGCTAATTATAATTTAGGAAGATAATTATATCCTTTGACCATACAACAAATATATACTATATTTAACTCTTAAATTTGAGGATGATGCTCCTTTCTTTTGCTATCCTGGACCGACTTGGTCTCCTCAAAAAAAATGCTTTGATCAACAATAATAAGGAGGTCTAAATTGAATTTAAGGTGATTTAAAATCGGTCAGGAGCAATTTGGGTTGAATTTAGATCGGGTCAATAACAAGTCATGTTAATTTCGAGTCGGGTTAGTAACAGATCGGGTTGAATTTTTGGGTCGGGAAAGTAATAGGTCTGGTAAAATTCGCGTCGGGTCAATAACAAGTCGGGTTGATTTCGGGTCAGGTTTGTAACAAGTTGGGTTATATACGGGTCGGGTTAGGAACGGGTCGAGTTGAAATTAAGTCAGGCTAGAAACAAGTCGGGTTAAATTCGGGTTTTAACGGGTTAAAACGGGTTAGGGTCAATTTCGTTTCTAGTCGGGTTCGGTGCAAGTTAATTAAATTGGCCGTTGTAAACCGGTAAATCAATGCAAGTTGCAAACTGATAAATTGGCCGTTTAACAGCAAATTGGATGGTTCCAAACACCTAATTGGACTCCCGTAGGCCCGTAGGGTATTAAGGACCATGATAAACATTTAGCCAATTTTTATTTCCGGGCAAAAAAAAGTCAAAAAATTCCAAAATTGAAGGCTAATATACATCCACGCTTTTTGAGAATTTTTTGAGGTTTCGATGCCTGGTGTACGTCGAAAAATCTTGAAATTCTATGGAATACATCTCGGGGTCATATTATGCCGTTTGGAACCATATATGATCATTATATGTTGTCGTCATAAAGTTCGTAGTATGCTTGAGTTCATAAAATTCGTGCAAGTTATAAACCGGTAAATTAGCCGTTTAAAGGCAAAAATTGGATGGTTCCACCAACCCAATTGGACTTCCGAAAGGTATTAGGGACCATGGTAAACATTTCAACAATTTTTATTTCCGGGCAAAAAAAGTCAAAAAATTCCAAAATTGAAGACTAATATCCACGTTTTATCCACGTTTTTTGAGAAATTTTGGAGGTTTCGGGGACCGGTGTCAAAAAATCTTGAAATTCTAGGGAATACATCTAGAGGTCATATAATGCCGTTTGGAACCATATATCATCATTATTTGTTGTCATAAATGTTCGTGGTAGACTTGAGTTAATTATAAAATCGGTGCAAGTTATAAACCGGTAAATTGGTCGTTTAAAGGCAAATTTGATGGTTCCACCCATCCAATGGGACTCCTGGACAGTATTAGGGATCATGGGAAACATTACGGAAATTTTTATTTCCGGGCGAAAAAAATTCAAAAAATTCCAAAAATGAAGGTTAATATCCACGCTTTTTGAGAAATTTTTGAGGATTCGGGCCCCGGTGTTGAAAAGTCTTGAAATTCTAGGGGATACATCTCGGGGTCATGTAATACTGTTTAGAACCATTTATGATCATTATATATTGTCATAAATGTTCGTAGTACCCTTGAGTTAATGAAATCTGTGCAAGTTGTAAATCGGTAAATTGGCCGTTTAAAGGCAAAGTGGATGCTTCCACCAACCCAATTGCACTCTCGGAGGGTATTAGGGACCATGGTAAACATTTCAACAAAAAATTTTATTTCCTGGCAAAACAAGTCAAAAAATTCCAAAATTTAAAACTAATATCCACGCTTTTTGAGAAATTTTGGAGGTTCCAGGGCTCGGTGTCAAAAACTCTTGAAATTCTAAAGGATTAATCTCAGGATCATATAATGCCATTTGGAACCATATATGATCATTATTTGTTGTCATCAATGTTCGTGGCAGACTTGAGTTAATGAAATCGGTGCAAATTGTAAACCGGTAAATTGGTCGTTTAAATGCAAATTGGATGGTTCCACCCACCCAATGGGACTCCCGGACGGTATTTGGGATCATGGTAAATATTTTGGCAATTTTTATTTCCGGGCAAAAAATAGTCAAAATTTTCAAAATTGAAGGCTAATATCCACGATTTAGAGAAATTTTGGAGGATTCGAGGCCCGGTATCGAAAAGTCTTGAAATTATAAGGGATACATCTTAGGGTCATATAATGTCGTTTGGAACCATTTATGATCATTATATGTTTTCATAAATGTTCGTGGTAGGCTTGATTTAATGAAACCGGTGCAAGTTGTAAACTGGTACATTGGCCGTTTAAAGGCAAATTGGATAGTTTGTTCAACCCACCCAATTGGACTCCCAGAGGTTTTGAGGGACCATGGTAAAAATTTTGCCAAATTTTATTTTAATTTCGTGCGAAAAAAAGTCAAAAAATTCCAAAATTGAAGGCTTATCCACGCTTTTTGAGAAATTTTAGAGGTTTGTGGCACAGTGTTGAAAAGCTTTGAGATTTTAAGGAATACATCTCGGGGTCATATAATGACGTTTGGAACCATATATGATCATTATATGTTGTCATAAATGTTCGTGGTAGGCTTGATTTAATAAAATCGGTGCAAATTATAAACCGGTAAATAAGCCATTTAAAGACAAATTGGATGGTTCCACCCACCCAATTGGTCTCCTAAGGGGTATTAGGGACTATGGTAAAAATTTGGGCAATTATTATTTTCGGGCGAAAAAAGTAAAAAAATTCCAAAAATAAAGGCTAATATCCACGCTTTTTGAGAAATTCTGGAGGTTTCGGGCCTGGTATTGAAAAGTCTTGAGATTCTAGGGAATACATCTCGGGGTCATATAATGTCGTTTGGAACCACATATAATGTCGGGTTAAATTCGGGTTTTGACGGGTTAAAACTGGTTTGGGTCAATTTCGATTCAAGTCGAGTTCGATTCAGGTCAATAATTTACGGGTTACATTCGGGTCGGGTCATCTCCAGGTCTGTTCATGTTCGGGTTCGGGTCTCACATACTCGGGTCAACTCGGGTCTAGGATTGGTTTCAGGTCGGGTTTGGGTCACCATTTTTCCGGGTTCAGACGGGTCGGTTAATAATCGGGTTTGAGTCGGTATTTCTGGTCAGGTCAACTTTTGACAGCTCTAGTTGAACCTTATACTTTGTTTTTATAATTCCTTCATTAACTCAATGCCACCACGAGACTTTATGTTTGTAATCTTGTATATATAACTGATTGATGGTCATTTATATATGGTTCCAAACAATATTGTATACCAGTGAAGAGCGAGGAAATGAACACATGCATACATATTGAGCTAGGCATGTGATATGAATTACTTGAATTTGTTTATGTCATAGTCCTCATAGATTTATGGCTCAATGTATGGGATATCATGTTATTATGATATTATCTGCCTTAGATATTTAATTTTTGTCATCACAAAATAAAAAACTTTCGGTACAACGAACAGAATACAATAATGCCAAAAAAAAAAAAAAAAAAAAAAAAGAACAATATGGGAGAGAATAACTAAATAACTAATGTATATACAGAGTTAAAATTATGCCATACGAAGTTGCAAAAAATTTGCATAGGGTCCTTCGTCCACTTGATCACTTCAATTCCCACTAACAATTGGTTTAACTAAATGTTCATAACACGAAACTAGTGTCCTTTTAATTAGTCTTTTAACCTTTTGATGAAATAAAGAATCAAGCTAATCTCACTGACCTATTATTTTGGAGATATTATTTAATTATCTATTAATTAATGACTGAACAACAAGAAAGTTAAGATTGTTAGGCCAGTTTGTCAAAATATATAGTACTACAATGTGTACAGTGTACTATAGTTGATACATTCACGTTCTTATCATCTCTCCTTTCAATTCTAAGCAATATATTGTTTGCTCAATTAATTTACAAGTTGTCGTACACCTATACTGCTAGTTCAAAGAACTCTTTTTTATAAGACAATCACCGTCCAAATAGGAAGATCAAACTTTTACTGTACGTTTCCATAAACGTGTCAATTAACTTCAGTACACTACTTTTAACGAGAATGTATGAAAAAGACGTATGCACAATAATTAAGACGGAGAAAAGTTTGTTTGAACGAACTAACACATATCTCATTATTTCAACGAATGTTACAAATGAAAAAGAAATTTAGTACAAAGGGATAATAATTGCTACTCTTATTTTTGAGTAACAGTAAATATAAGCTTAGCTTAATTTAAACAAATTAAACATAAATTTAAGGGGTAATAATTGTATTAAATTAATTAAGGGCACTTGCGTTTGCCATCGCGAGTGGTCAAACTAGCATAGCATTCACATTTATCGTAGTTGCCGTAAGTACCTGGTGGCACGCAGTTGCACCTTTTGCAACAACTTCCACACGCTCTTTGGCATAGATTTGGCCTGCTTGATTTGCTACACCTTACTAAACATGCTGCATCACAATCTGTCAAAGAAAAAAAATTTACGTTTACATTAGATTTTTCTCAAGGTAGCAAGATACTGATAGGTAAGATAGCTAAAAGTTGAAATATTAAACACTGGATAATGCTAAAGGAGATGTGTCACTTGTATTAATCGAGAATGTACTATGTAATTATTACATTTTGATACAATGTTATAAGTGTAATTTTTAATTCGTTTGAAAAAAAAAACCGTGTCTTGTGGTGAACTTAATTGATTAGTACTTTTTTTTTTTTTTAGGGAAAAATGCATGGATCTAGCAATAATATTATGAAGGAAAGCCGTCCAAATAATAAATTATGAGAACATACTACGTATATACCTATGAATCCACCGGGTGCCGGACTTATAACGCTACCAGCAGGCTGCATGGTCAAACAAACGGTAAAATCAGTCAAACAATAACAGAAATGCAATTGTTACTCATTTATGTATAACCAATACTATTTTTTCTTTTTTAAATCCGTTCAATCAATATTAAACAATAATAAATGTTTTCAAACATACACAAGACAAAATCATTTGCCAAGAACTCAGTTTTAATCAATTAAAATTAGTTAAAATGAATAAGAATGCCTTGATAATCTCTGTACAAATTAAATAACATGCATGTAAATAGCATAATTAAGTGGATTTAAAAAAAATATGCTGTATTTAATTTGTTCATCAAAATAAACTAATTTGTTTTTGTAGAAAAATAGTATACAAAGTATTCATTAATCAAAGAAAATAAAGATAAAAATCCATTTCTCACTTGTACCTAAGTTAAGAGCTCTCTCAAATGAGAAAAATGCTTTAAAAATAACTTTGAATGTACCATACATATAAATATGGCAAAAATTTATCTTACGAAAACATATATGTGTAATTATTTATCGAATGTCCCGTATAAAACTAAATATTAAAATAAACGAAGTATGTATCATACATGCGTCTATAAAATACATGTATAGCATACAAAAATAACTTTTAAGGGTAGAATACTTACCGCAGGTGTAGGTGTAGTAGCTTGGACAAATTGAATAAGGAGAGTTGAAAGAAGGAATGAAGCAATTAAAACCTTAGAAATTGCCATTGTAATAAAAAGATGCTTAATAAAATAATTAAGCAAAGAGCCAAATTAATAGAGAGTTTAGAGGAGAGAATAGTTTCAATTTGTGAGTGATACAAAAAAGTGAGCAAAAGCATGCTTATTTATAGCCCAATTTTGTTGGGGCTACTGAGGACGGTACTACTTAATTAATTAGGACGGTAGGTGACGTACTCTAGTTGTATTTTTAGTTAATTACTTAGTTGTTACTAATAAATAATTTATTTAATAAGTTCAAACTTATCTGGATTTGAGAATGTGCACATAAATCGTGTGTACCTTTACAGCTCCAACATTTGATTACTTATATCACATTGGTGTTTTAAAAAGTGTTATATTTTGACTTTTTTACACTATTTACATAATGATTTTAATTTAATTATTTTACTAATACGTAGTATATAAAAAAAATAAGTGTTATTATATATACATTGTTGGATTCGTTACAATGTATAATTTCATAATTTCAATTTTCCTGCAATTTTACTAACATATAATCAGATAAATTAATGGTCAAAGTCGTATCTCGACAAGCGTGTTTGGTCGAAATGTAACACCTATTAAAATACTGAGAGAGTATATTAGGATAAGAGAGTGAGGGATAACTCAAGTAATTAAAGTTTCCCTCCCGGTCTCAAAAGATCTTGAGATTGATTCTTATCACATGCCCTAATGGCTCTATATTAAAAAAAATTTAAAAAATAAAAAAAATAAAAAAAGCCTATAATATAAAGCATATTAATGTTTTAACTCTTGGCCTATAGTGTTTATGCAATATATATATGCCTAGTAATTTAAAATCTATTAGATCCAGACTAATTTGAATCTGAGTCAGGTCAAGTTACAATTAGCTAAAGGTAAAACTCTTGTAACAAGCTAAGTGATATCGTGTTTTTAAGTCTCAATCTTAAGAGTTTGGTTAAAACGAAACATCTCCTTTACTAAATAATCGATTCAATATTTCGATCAGACACTCCTAACTTTCTAGGTAGATATGTTCCTCATTCAAGCATACCATAGCATTATAGTAGATTAGTAGCACTAACTAGTTGGTAAAACTCTTTAAAAAAAAATGCTATCTAAAGCAAACAAAAGGCGGCCAATAATAGATTCTTTGAACACTAAATAAAGTCAAAGAAAGTATTAGTAAATTGAACAAATCCAGCTATACGATATTGAAGCACACAATGCAAGTTGATTCAAGGATACTTGTACTACATTCATGTCATTTTCTTGTCCAAATTAGTGAGGACAGAATATAGATGATTATCTTTGATTTTCACAATATTATACTAGTATAAATCTTCTTAAGAAGTCATCCTAAATGTAGGTGTGTGTTATTATAATTATCAAAGCCAATACATAGACTAGAGGTCAATCCAAAAATTATAAACTTAAATAAAATGAAAATGTTGATCATTTCTTTTTAATTTTCTTTATTTAGTTGTGTATTTATTATGAGTTTTATGAATAGACCCTAAGTTAATGGATATATTATAATCCAGCTAATAATATACTTTCAGTTACTACTGTACTCATTATGTATTGTATACAACATGTGTAGAGTGTAGTTATTTCAATCCATTCATACATAACGGATAAATATGATCTGATTTCAAGTATATATAGTTGTGCACATTTAATGAATCATCTTCATCTTCATGCAATTACTCTTGAATTAGAGTTTTCTGAGTTGGCCACCACTTTTTCTTGATTGGTTTATTGAAACACTCTATCATAATTCATAACTCATAAGTACTATTTGTAGCATTAGCCATTTATTAGTCTTGACTTGAATGTAGTATGTACACTAGTAGTACTCATTATTTCAAACAAGCAATCCCATCTAATTATTATATTTGTACTCACTTTGCAACTCTTTTAATCAACTCAACAAAGTATCTCTTCCTTTTTCTACCATGTACCTTGTCAATTTGTCATGGATGCCTTTCTTTTCTCAAACATACCAAGTCATACTGTACTACAATTACGACATCATTATAATCCTTTGTATTCACCTTATCTTATCTAAACTTATTAGAAACAGAGTAACGTACATCTGTACAAGTCAAATGACGTGTTTGTCACCTCTAACACGGGTTCGTACACTAACAACCATTGCATCAAGTAGAAAATATTGATGATGGAATATGAAGTTATCGAGATAGAGGTGGGAGGGACTTTCCAGGAATATTGCAAGCTGGCAAAAAAGAATTGATTATCTGGAGCTTAGCTGGAAAATGTAAAACGAGTACCAACAAAATAAGAGTGAGTAATGAACAATTTCTCAAATTTCAGAATTCCAAGCCCCCATTCTTCCTTCCTACTGGCCAACTGACCTACTCCCCCACTTCTTTATTGTGTTATTAGTCAAATGATCACTACTCTCACTAATGCACTGTCTGACTAAATTTTAACAAAAAAATAGTCTTAATTCCAGATTTAATACCATTTAATTAATTTACTGGTCCAATTTGGATTTTGCTTGGAATAATGTAATTTCAATGATTTTTTAGTCACAACTTGTGTTTTTCATTGCATTATATATTCAACCATTTTATACATTATGAATATGCACGGCATGCACAGTACATATAACATATACAAGAAGCTAATTAAAATTGAAAATAATACGTGAAATAATATACAGTGATCGATACTTGAATTTGTTATGTATATATTACAAAAGTCCGTAATAAATAAATATAAGGTACACTATTTAAGATCAACAAAAAATTTTAAAAAAGGTAACGTGAACTATTTACTCCCTTTATATATTTTTTATGATCTTATGTGGAATGGTACATAGAAAAACTAGAATATGATTTATTTATTTTTTTTCGAAAATATTAGGATGAAGAAAATTATTTACTTAGACCTTGAGAATCAAGTAAGGAGTACATAAGTGGATGATTTACAAAAATATAGCTTTTAAGAAACTTATTTAAGGTTTTGCATTGAAATGAAACTTATTTACGAAAATATAGTCCACGTAGGCTTGGAGATACATTTGGAGGTAATTTTTTTCTTTAGAGACAAACCGCGGTTATAGTCTAAAACCGCTACTTGAGGTAGCGGTTTGTCATTAGTACTCTAAGTAAAGATACATTTAATCAATTTATGAAGGGTAAAATCGCTACCTCAAGTAGCGGTTTTACTTTGAAAAATAATAAATTAAAATAAAATCTTATCCGAGCCTACGTGGACAGTAATTTCGTAATTAAGTTTCATTCCAACGCAAAAGTATAAATAAGTTTTAAAATAACCATACTTTCGTAAATCATCCTACATAAGTTAATTCAATATAAATTAAAGTCATTTATAAGGGAAAGGGTCGAAGTTGAATACTTGAAGCAATAAATTAAAACAAGAAAAGAATAAATTGAGCAACACCGAAATGATTCAATTCTCTTGACTTGAGTCACACCTAAATCAAATTTAGGTGATCATACTCAAATCATGTTTTTATGGTTAGTTCACGTCAATTGAAGTTAGAGATGAATATCAGTTAGTAAGCCAAGTTGTCATTAATTAATGGAAAAATTGTCCGAAATAATCCCATCTTTGAGCCGTCCGCTGAAAATAATCCCACCTTTGGATTATTTTTAAATAATCCCACCTTTATACCCATTCCGTTATAAATGGTCCCATTTTACTTGGAACCGGTTGAGCAGGTAAATTTTTTTTTAAAAGTAGAATTTACACGTGTCACTCCTTGATTAGTAAAAAAAATAAAAATAAAAAAGTAGTAAAAAAAACCACCACCGCCACCTAAGCCACCCCAATTCAGCCACCACCACCCAACCTAAACCCTAGAACCACTATCCCACCCACACCTGAAACCACCAAGCTGACCAGAATCCCACCGAGCCAAGCCAACCTAAACCCAATTACCCATTAACCCAACCCCTTAACCACATTAACCATTTAACCCAACCCCTCCTCTGTGGACGACGACGACGACGCGGTTGGAAACGGTGGAAGGGGGAGACGCGACGCGACCAGAATCTGGGGATGGGGGAAGTCGGCGCGTCAGAGCTGGGTTTAAGGGAGTTGGTGGGTTTTTCGCGGGCGGAGCCTGGGTTTAAGGGCTGGGTTTTCACAGGGGTAAGAGTGAGGGAGAGGATAGGTGGTTCATGGGAGGGGAAGGTAAGCCGGAGCTGCGTGAATAGGGTTGGCCGGTTGGGGGTTGGCTTGGTTTCGTGAGGATTCGAGGGTGGTTCATGTGGAGGTTCGTGAGGGAGGGAGGGGTTCGAGGGTGGTTCAAGGAAGGGGGTTCGACTGTGGTTCAGGGGAGGGGTGGCAGGGGAGACGGGCGCATCGGGATTGGTGGCAGGGGAGGCCGACGCGCGGTGGTTTGGCTGGTGGGTGGTTTCTAAATTAATTAATTGTTATTTTTAATTTTTAAAAAAAAAATTATTTTTTGGACTAATTGGGTGCCGACACGTGGCTAGTAACTTGCTATAACAAGTTAACTAACCGGTTGGGACCAATAAAAAAGATCGAGAGGTAAAGGTGGGATTATTAAAAAATAATCCAATGGTGGGATTATTTTCAGCGAACGGGCAAAAGGTCGGAATATTGCGAGCAATTTTTCCTTAATTAATTTGTTTATTTCAAATTAGATTAGGATCATATTTAAACACTATTAACAGCTAATGTATCATTATTGAAAAACACCGAATTAAATTTAATCATTTTCTCTAGCAAAGTTTTTTTATAAATCGATTTTCTCAATTCGATCAGATTGGTTTATAAAATCATTTTTTCTAGCCAATTCAATTTTTTGGAGTCTAAAAATTACCTGGTTTATGTGCAAACCTATGGGCACTTTTTGTATGTCCATCTAGTATTTACTATTCCCTCCATCCCTTAATACAATGCCTCTTTCTCTTTATTATGTAAGTGATAAATGCTCGAAAGAGGCATTGTATTAAGGGACGGAGTATGTACCAAGGATAACACGTGGCATAGTCACCCCTACAATATTATCATGTAAGATATAACTTAAAGATAAAGCCTAAAGCTAAGGAGAGACTTGAATCAACTTAAACTTATTGTTCTAATAAATCTTTAATTAGCTAACCAATTTGCAACTCTAATTCCTAACACACATGCATGTTTAACTAACCTCGACATGCTAATTTTGATTTGTTGATAAATTCCTACAAGGTGTAAGAGTGTAACCACATTGACCTCCATATGTTTATTAGTCTTTTATTGGAATCACAATAGTTTTTTTTTTCTTCTTCTAATTAAAGTTATTCGGTGTAAACTTAAAATGAGAGAAATGATTTTAGCACACCTAAACTGATTTTGGCACAATTTTCTATGCTCCTCTTACATAGGGGTGTGCCAAAAATAAAAATCAATTACTCCGTACTATATAATTCAGTTATTCCATCAGATTTTCTGAGTTATTAATATACCATCTGTCTATGAATAGGATATACCAAATTATAATAAGGTACTAACATCTTTGGTAATTTCATTGAGATGTATCTTAATTAGGCAGTGTATGTGCAATGCTAATTAAGTTGCCTTTTGTCGGTGTTAACGTACACGATATTGAGGGTTTAACAAAAACGTTTTTGTAAGATAAAAATAATTTGCAAAATAGGAACGTACAACTAACTCATTCCTTGCTTTGGTTTTATACTTTAATTGGTGTACATTCTTATAATTTTAACTTTGCATTAATTTTTCCAAAACTTTTATTCTTTTTTCTTCATTGCATGCTTTGGTTTACCCAGGAGCGGAGCTACATTGGTGCATACTGGTATTACAACCATAATTAATAAACGATAATAGCCTCTAAGTTTGAGGAAACTCGATCCAATCGTAAAGTCAAATATGGTCTAATATGAGTAGCTAGATAGTAAATAAAGCTCTTTGTAAAAATGTTCTTATGCAAATACTTCTATAATTAATACATGAAGCAATCAACCAATGACTACCACTAGTTTTGCCAACTAGTGATTGTGGCTCTTAATTGTTTATACAACTCATACTAGCACTCTATTTTTACATTTTGTTGGTACGTAACATTGGATTTTTCCATTGATGTATGTCCTGGGCCTCCTGGCTAGGCTACAATTCTAATTTAGACAAACTATAATTTCTTTGTCAAAAAAATTGACATATTTATAACATGTCATGCATTCATGTCTAGATATTTCCATCAAAAGCGTTAGGCGTAATAGCTTCGGTCCAAATTAATTTTGGGGGGTGGAATTTATCTTGTAGCTAAATTCATAAAAGTGTACGTACAAGTAGATAAGGACTCATTGATGATAAGACTACCAATCGATCTTTGATTTTTGGACCATATTTATACTTGTATTTAGTTGTATTTAACTAACTTAGGCTAGGTTGCTATGTTAAATTGCTCACTCGTAAACCAAATCAATCAATAACTAGCTAGTAGCTATTTAGCCAGCTCATCAGCATATATCAACGGTACCTTTTTTTTTTTTTTTTTATAAAGAGTTAGGTTAGATAGCTAACAATAATATAATATAATTTAATTTGAAAGCGAATGTACTCTCCTTTGACCAATATCACTTAAATATTTACTACATATATATTAAAATATAATAAATACATTGATATCTCCCTAACTCGCTGGCTAGATGTTAGTTAATCATGAAGTATTTGTATCATTTGTATTTCTTTGGTACAAAATGCTTCAACCATCTATATATCTAAGGAAATAAAATACTTGTAATATTAATGGTCATAATAGTAGATTAGATGATTGTAATCCTTATTATGTTAGTTGTGCAAAATGTAACGTGATTTTGATGAGTATGTACTAACCCGTAAATAAAATTGTTGTAAGCTAATAGTAACGGGTGGCTTGTATGTCTTGTTTACTATTGTCCAAAAAATTGTATGTTGGTACATGCATGTTGGATGCTTGGTATATTTAAAAGTCTAGCAACTTGTAAAAATTATCTCTTTCAAAATTTTGTAAAATTTACAACCAACATCATCACATTACAACATGGCCATAATTACTTCCCAACCATCCACCTATAAATAGACACCACTTCCCTACTCTCATTAGTCACAACTTACAATTCCAATTTTCCTCCTCTCTTTTATTATTACAAGCAATTCTTCTGCTATTATTAAACTTAAAAATGGCTTTTTCCAAAGCTTTAATTGCTTCTCTACTTCTTTCTCTACTTGTTCTTCAGCTTGTTCATGCATTTGAACCAGAAACAATCTCAAATCAAATGGTATGTTTTTTTTTAATGATATCATGTAATTAGTTTACTAATTAGTTAAATTTTCTCTATATTATTACATGGTTATATATATATATATATATATATATATATATATATATATATATATATATATATATATATATATATATACACACACACATATATATATATATACATATATATATATATATATATATTAATACAAAAGTTTATGTAATACTATGTTTCAGACTCGCCCTGGAAATGTCTCTGAAAGTAAAGTGGGTAAGTTTCTCTAATCTAATCTTCATAAAAAGCTCCCATTATTTGGTTATTTTATGCAACATTTACTCAAGGAAATGAAAGTTTATGCTCATTATTTTCTAGGAAATTTAGTAATATATATACATATAAAATAAAACTTAAGTGTTGTTCAAAATTTACATGTTATTTAATTAGAAAGTGCTTAGGCTAAGATTTTCCGTTTTGATCTTTCTAAATAGTTATGTAATGCATGATTAATGTTAATAAAAGTATGTAGAATGTTACTTCGTATATGATAATTTTTTACATAGTAAATGTAAATAGGGTCATGAGTAACAACAAACCTCATATACTAGTATAAATTTTTAAGAATAGCTTCTTAAAAAGATTATTATTATTATTATTATTAAATAACAAAAACCTACAAAGTCAAAAGATTTACAAGAAATTAGTGGGGAGACGAGATACAATCTGGGCCACCACCCCTCTAGCTATAGCGAACCCAATCCTGTTAAAGATGTGAGCAGCCGCACGAGCTTTATTATTATTATTATTATTATTATTATTATTATTATTATTATTATTATTGTTATTATTATTATTATTATTATTATTATTATTATTTTTTCTTTTTTTTTTTCTTTTTTTTTTTTTTACATTTTTGTTATATTTTCCTAATCGTTGGTTGGCCATCATTGTTTTGGCCAATTGGGAGCATGATTTGCATGGTTTATTTTTTACATTATAATTGCATGTACTTCAAACTTTCATGCTCTAGATTTTCACAATAACGTCCTATAATTGATGTTTATATACGAGTATATATAATAGTAAAGATAAGAGATGTTTTTTTTTTTTTTTTTTATTCTGAACTATATTTAATTACTTTGCATTATATGTTATTTCGGGAATATATTGAGGTACGTTATACTCTTGGATGCATTAAAATTCACAAATGAACTACTCATTCGAGTTTTAAAGGAGATTAGGAAAGTTATTTAGTATTTACTTACTCGTAACAATGACTCAATGAGGGACTAAGTAAGCAAATTGTTCCATTTTGCCAAACTTCACTGAAATTGCAACTTCTTTGGTAACAACGTGTAAGTCGATGTCAACCAATTGATCATAAATGTGACAGGAAATATTGATTTTTACTCCAACAGAATTCTGATGAAAACAATAAATAACTTTTACTGAGCATTTAGTTATGAAAATGGTACATGCAGATTGTGGGGCAGCATGTGCAGTGAGGTGCAGCGCCACAAAGAGGCCAAACCTATGCAAGAGGGCGTGCGGAAGTTGTTGTAGCAAGTGCAATTGCGTACCACCAGGCACCTTTGGCAACTACGAAGCCTGTCCTTGTTATGCCAACTTGACCACCAAGAATAAAATGCACAAGTGCCCTTAAAGATACCCGGAATTGATTTCTATGTTTAATTCGGAAACAGCAAAGCCTTAGTCTTGAAATGATTTGGGATCAAAATTCTATTTATGATATTAGTAAAATAAATCCATTTTTTAGGCACGTTGTAATTCTTATAGCTAGCTAGCTGGTGGTATGTTTAGTTATGTTAAGTGAGTGTAATCTAGATGGAAGTTTATGTCGATTGTTGTACTATTTTGTATAATAGCGGAAGTAGTTTTTAGTAATCTACCATTACTGTATTTTAATTGATGTGTATGGTATATTCCTTTTCAAGGGAATTAATGCTATGTAATGTATCACTGTTTGAAAGCTACTTCGTAGTATGGAATAAATCCATTGAGATTATATATTTTTTTGGTGATGTGATTAATTGTTATTTTGTTGCTAAGTTAATGCCAATTTACTTTATCACTAGAAAAGGATGGTTTCAACCATATTATTTTGTGTTGGAACAATTTAGACGTAATAATTAATCCAATTTCTAAATATAAATTCGACATTGCAGATTAGGTCGACTCTATCAAGTCTACCTACCAAAATTTACCGTGTTTATAACAATTTAATAATCGTCTTAGCATTATCAATGCATTCACACATTCTATTTTATCTTAGACCAATTCTTTTTATCCTTCATTATAGTTAGGCATATGAATTCAAAAGTGAATGAAAGTTTCTAAATTATCTCATCTTCATTGAGACATGATAGGTAATGCTCCACATATAAAAAGCTCCTTTCTTAAAACAATCCATTTACTTTACCAATGAAACTAGCTTCGTCTATTAGTAATTAGAAACGATACACTCCTTGAGGCAACGACTTAATCATATGTTACTGTGTTACGTGGTCGTGGCTTAATCTGCTGATTAGGCTTAGAACAATCATTTACTAAAACTTGATTTGAAGGCCAAAAAATCATTTGTTGCATCCACAAAGCTTTAATGCTTGCTCTTAACCAACATTGCTTAAGGCAATTGCTTCTTCTTCCCTTCCCTCCAAATTTGAAATTCTTCCAGAAAACCCAGAATTACCACCCTTTTTCTACTCTATCTTCTCTCTTAAATCTCTGCAATAAACCCCAACTTCTCAAGCAATTCCATGCTAGGTTAATCCTCCATGGCCATCACCAAAACCTTTCTCTTACCTCTAATCTTATTGAATCCTATGCTAATTTGGGCCTCAATAGCCTCTGTTTTCATGTATTTAATTCAATTTCTTACCCAAGTTGGGAAATTTACAACAGGGTTCTTCAAATTATTGCAAATTCTGGTGAATTTAAGGAAACCCTGTTGTTATATGATAAAATGGTATCAAATTCTATGTACCCAGATGAATTTTCATACCCATTTGTTCTGAGGTCTTGTAAGCATGTCTTGGATGTTGATCATGGTAGAAGGGTTCATGGGCATTTGGTGAAACTTGGTTTTTACGTGAATGAGGAAGTGAGGACGGGTTTAGCTGAGTTTTATGGCGAACTTGGGGAGATTGAGAATGCACGTCAAGTGTTTGATGAAATGCCTGTTAGAGGGTTGGATTACTGGAATTCTCAGATTGTGGAAAGCTTACAAAATGGGAATGTTAGGGAGATTATTGGGGTAATTAAGCAGATGATGGAGGTGAATATTTGGCCAAATTCAGTTTGTTTGATCAATTTGCTGAGAGCTAGTACAGAACTGAACTCTTTAAAATTAGGGGTATTGGTTCATGGTCTAATTGTTGTTAGTGGCCTTAGTGAAGATGTATCTGTGTGCACTGCATTGATAAATATGTACTCTAGAATAGGTAACCTAAAGAATGTGTGTTTGGTGTTTAAGATGATGCCTGAAAAGGATCGTGTGGTGTGGAACTTGATGATTTCAGCATATTTTCGCCGTGGGCAATCAAGGAAATCCCTGGACTTATTGGTGAAAATGTGTAATGAAGGAATAAGAATGGACCTGTACACTGCACTTGCAGCATTACCGTCTACTGGTGAGTTGAAATCGCTTGAATGGGGGAAGCAAATCCATGCCCATGGCATCAGAAATGGCTTAGATCATCAGGTTTCAGTTCAGAATTCTTTGATAGATATGTATAGTAAATGTGATAGTGTGGAAGCTGCCAAAAAGGTTTTTGACTTGGTAGTAGAGAAGACTGAGGTTTCGTGGAGTTCAATGATTAAAGGATTTGTTATTCATGAACGATATTTTGATGCCCTATCACTATTTGCCAGAATGAAATGTGATGGATTTTTGGTTGATTCTGCTGCAATTGTGAGCATCTTGCCTGCTTGTGTGAATGCTGGTGCATTTGAGCAGTTGAAATATATTCACGGGTGCACCATCAAGTATGGTCTGCTCTCTACACCTTCTGTAAATACAGAATTACTGGCAAGTTATGCTAAATGTGGTTGCATAGACATGGCGAGAAGGCTGTTTGATGAGGAAGAGATTGATAATAAGGATACTATTACTTGGAATTCGTTAATAAGTGCATATTCTAAACATGGAGAGTGGCAACAATGCTTTCGTCTTTATGAGCAGATGAAAAAGACATATTTCAGACCAGACTCAATAACATTTCTTGGATTACTGACAGCTTGTGTTAATTCTGGTCATGTTAATGAAGGATGGAAAATATTTAAGGAAATGACAGAAACCTTTGGTTTCCAGCCTAGTCAAGAACACTATGCGTGTATGGTGGATCTGTTGGGTAAGGCAGGGCATATTGATAAAGCTAAAGAGCTCATAAACTCTATGCCCATCAAAGCAGATGCCCGTGTATGGGGTCCGTTGTTAAGTGCTTGTAAAATGCACTCAGAGACCGCAGTTGCTGAGTTGGCTGCTGAGAAGCTGATTGAAATTGAACCAACAAATGCAGGGAACTATGTACTGATGTCTAACATATATGCTGCATCCGGAAAGTGGGACAAAGTAGCAAAGATGAGAAGTTTTCTAAAAAATAAAGGTCTGAAGAAGACTCCTGGCTGTAGTTGGCTGGAGGTTAATGGAAAAGTGCACGAGTTCCGAGTTGCTGATAGATCTCACCCTAGATCAAATGAGATTTATTCTGCATTGCAGTATATAGAGCTCGAAATCGAGGACATCATAAAGGCAAGCCTACCAAAGCCGTGGGTTATTGAAGATATTGAACATTAGATAAGAGTAAATAGGCTTTCCTTAGCACTAATTCATGGATTGAATATTTTGATTTTATCATTGCCTCTATGTACTCAAATTTGGAGCAATATAAAGAGTAAATAACAAGTATTTTCCAACAAAACAGAAATAAAATCCAAATCAAATAATTTATTGCAATGAATGGGCTCATGCCTGTCTGACTGTCTGTTCTTGTTAGAATCTTTGTTGAGCAATCGAACATTATTTACAAAAAGACTATCAGAAGTTTCTTAAAGACACTATGTCTCGTAAAAGCCAGAACAAAAATCAGGAAAATATCACATTCTTCTTAATATTCTTATTTTCTTTACATTCCTAAATTTCAACCCTTGAAAAATGGGCTGTTGAATAGGTATCATCATAAATGTCCACAAATTAGACAATAAATTGGGCATGATCTACAAAACTAAGTTTTGCACTTAAAGTTCAACATTTAGTTGCACACAAGATATGGTTAGGACGCCTCTGGGAGTAGTGCTCACAGGTGATGCAGAACTTCAAAAGATAAGACGTACAACAAAGATTCGTTCTTCCACTTTGGACAGTTGAAACATCATCTAGGAGCACATACTTTCAAGCGTACCTTACAGGTTCTTAAGCAAAGCAGGTTCATTACTTCAGAGTTCAGACTACCTGCAAAAGGAAGAGAGGAGATTCATTTCCATTACTTGATAATATTTCTTTTTCAGATAAGAAATCAATATTAAAAACTCACAAACCTTTTGTACAAAGCTTTTACATCTTTCCTAAGCAGAGGATTCTGCAAGAAAATATCACAACAGTCTTCTAAATCAATGGATTTCAATTCTAAATCCTTCTTCTTAGAAAATTCATCCCACTCGAACCACATTTTTGCTATTATTTCTTTCTTAAAACAAGTTCTGTGGTCATCCTCTTCAGGAGAATCAGCTGCAACCAGTCTATAAGTAAACACTTTTTTCAGTTGCCCTGGCCTAAATGCCCGGCATACTGCTTGCCAAGAGACAGAAGGGTTTGGATGAACATCAAGTATCAAAATACGTGATGCTCCAACAAGTGATATTCCTTCCCCACACGCTTTAATCGATCCCAAAAATACTCTAGCATTAGGTGAGCTATTAAACTGTTCCATGGACCATTCACGGTGTTCTGGTGTTGTTTCACCTGTTATCATGAATATTTCCTTGTTGATAGCCCAACCTTTGTGATGCACTGCTAACCGCTCTAAAAACTTCAAAGGCAAGAGATACTGACTGAAAACTAGCAACTTTTCTTGTGCAATTTCACATAAACGTAGCATATTGAGGAAGAACATGGCTTTCACCCCATCAATAAGATTCATTTTCTTGATCATTTGATCCAAATTCTCATCACTCATAGTCCGATTTTCTTGATTGCTTTCGTTACTGCTCCCTGAGAACTGCTTCAGCTGGGGATGCAAATATACTGCACTTCCCAAAGAACTACTTCTGAACTTTCTTTCCTTCAATTTCTTCATCTCATCAACTTCAACCTTTTGCTTCGGGCTAAGATTGAGCAAGACCGTAAAGTCATTGAGTCCTGGTAACTCATCAAAAGAGTCACCTTTATAATAGTGAAGAACTTGGCTTGTCATCTCACGCAAATCTTTTATGATCCCAAGTTTTCTTTGTTCATTATCATCATCAGTCAGTGTATTTTCCACTAATTCATAAAAAGCAGCATCCCCTGCTCCAGCCAACTGTTTTCTGACCCCAGAAATCTTAACTTTGCTCATAATACGCCTTACTATTACACGATTTTGCTCTAACTTCAGAAATTTAGGTTGAACAAGGTTCAGAATGTTGAAGACTTCTACAACATGATTCTGATAGAGGGTTCCAGATAGCACAACTTTCCGAGGTGTCTGAACTAGAGTTAGTGAGTGCAGCGTGTCAGTGTTTTTATTCCTTGGTGTGTGGCCCTCGTCCAATATCATAACTGTTGGAGCTCTCACCAAAATTTCTTTACAGGCGGCCTTTTCATTGCTAGTAACATCACTGGTCACAATGGAAGAGAATTGCTTGTACCCTAAAAAAAGAATGCTCTTCTGCTCAGCCCATTGCTTCAAGACATTCAGCTGCTGTGAACGACTGGCTGCCTTCACCGAGTAGAAATCATACAAGGGAATATCATCAAGTTGCCACCTCTGAAATTCTTTTTTCCATGTGCCTAAAATTCCTTTTGGGAGGATTACTAATGGTCTAGCAGAAGGGTACTTAGCGAGATAGCTTTGCATGAAACATATGATCATAAATGTTTTTCCGGAGCCAGGGGCATGGGCCAAAATGCAACCATGTGGATTCTCAGTCACCAAATTTCTAAGCAGGAAATTAAAGCCCTCAATTTGATGAGGTTTCATCTGTTTAATGTGCTCTGCATGAGCTATAACTTCAAGTACACTTTGATCCATGCTTAGTAGGTTACACCAGTCAGGAAGACTGTCAACTGGCTTGTTATCTTCAGTTTTATGGGATTCATTATGGTAACTAGACTTCGTCCTTATTCTCTGTATCAAGAAGAAAACTTAGATCAGATAGTACTAGTTTGCAAAGATGTAGCGGCAGAAAAGGATCAGATGCACAAGAAATGGTTTTTTACAATGATGGTCATTTCGAAATTAGTCAAGGCTACAAGAAATGGCCTTTCACCACTACCCAAAGAACACAATATTTACTGAAGGTCATAATAGTAACCAAAATCCTACATTACACATACTATAAGGGTGCATCTTGGTCAACCAAGATATCAAGTCACAGATAAAGTTTAAATGAACATGCAAACAAAGAGAAGAAATTAGAAGTAGAACACTGGAAGCGTGGATCTGACTATTAAAATAACAGGTTTTGCACCTTAAGTCAAGCTCAAATGCTCAAACTATATGCAAATCCTAATCAGAATTACCAACATAGTGTTAAAAGAAGAAGAAACATGAAGAACTTTGTCTTTACCTTCGGATAAAGAAACTCAAACATATCTTGTATTCCCTTTTGCACAAGTCCACAAACTCGGCAAACATAGCCAATATCATCCTTTAAGATATAAGAATGGTCGCAGTCATCTTCATCTTCCTTTTTTTCTTCATCGGAAAACTGATTCTCAGGAAATTCCTAGAATCATATAAAACCAATGGGAATCATCAGACTATAACTACATCTATAAATGGTCCTATCCTCTTATCTAGAACGGTACTAATCCCATACACTTGATACTCAGGGTTAAATGCTCAGTCAGTAAAATACTTAACAAAAGCACAAGAATACCTTACAAGATTCCATTGCAAACTCCATCTCCTTCCATATTGTAGCAACATTCTCATCTTCAGAGTCATTTTCAGATTTGTCTTGAGTTGCAGTATCCTCTTCAACTCCTACGTAGATTCCTTTCTTCATTTCAGGAGAGGTATGATTTACTAACTCCTCAGAGTCCTCACAGGGTGTAATGGCCCCTAAACAACAGAGAGGAATTTCAATGAAATACATTTGCTTCTATATTGAAGTCTAAAGAAACACCAACATGAAATATGTTTGTGCAATGTATGTTGAACTCCTGAGAGTTCAGAGCAATAATTTAACCATTTTCTGAATAAGACTGTTTACCATTTCGGTTTCTGTCTACCTGCAAAACTTCTCTTAGATACTCGATATTTTAAAAACCAGCCAAACCTTGTTCTTATCTGCTAACTTGTTGACACTAAGAGACAAGTCCAGAACCTTGTTTGCTAACACTTATAAAAAGGACTTAGAAATGCAGAGCATCAACAGAACTAAGCACTTCATAAGATACATAAGTCCAATGCTTTGTGACCTTCACAATAACCTTCTTGGATAAAACTAAAGTACACAAACAATTCAGAAAAAGGAGCTGATGCTGCTCTGAAGTCATGATAAAGAAAAATAAAGCACAGCCTTAACAAGACAGGAACATTTCAAAAGAAATTCTACCTGCAATAACTGCATATTCAGCAAAATGAAAGTAATTTGCTTGAAATAGAAGTTCTACCTCCTTCAACTTCTACTTCTCCTCCCGTGTTTGAATTGATTTTGTCAATGAACACTGGATGGTTATCTTGCTGACTGCATCCAATGCTGTCTGTAGGAGGATGCCAATCCATCCTTTTTTCGCGTAAAGCTAACATCCTCAAAAGTCTGGCTTTTTTTTGCATTAGTGCATTTGGATCACTAAATTCAGCATCTCCATGATTAACAACTGCTTTTATTTGACTCAATAAGGACAACCTTGCAGGTTGCATCTGCTTCATCTTTTTTTGACGAATTATTTTTGCTCTCATAATTCGAACAGTCTTGTGAAATTGTGACTTTAAGACATTGTACTCACTTTTGTCACCATTCATCCTGTTATGCATGGTTTATTGCTCACTGGAAACCTACTAACATGTGAGAATGATCTTCAGTAAGTCATACAAATATCATATTTCATACCTCATATTTCATACTTCATACTTCATATTACTTACAGTACATACTACATAATGAATGTAAATCTCAAGTAGTCCTAAAGACTAAAGTAAATATGATGTACAATAATATGATGGAAATGTGAATACAAAACCACAAAGTGTTAAGACTGTTAACAATCTTAACATAGTGATTATTAAATGATGATTAAAAAATTAACAATAACTGTCTCAAATCCTTAAAAAAAGTCTTATAAATCAAATGAGGCACATAGACATAAGATAACATATACTGGACTCTCCTCCAGGCAATCAAATTGACAAAGATACCTTAATTCCAAGTTACCAAGTTTAAAAATCAAAGGGTTAGTGACCTTTACATTGAAATTAACTAGTACTCGTATTAATTTATCGTATTAAAAGAAAAATAAATCATACGGGGTACTATGTATCTACGACTTTCCCCTCTCTCTCTTTAGTAAATCTCATGAACAACCATCTTATTTCCCGAAAAATCGGGTTTTTACCACTTCCAAGGATCACAAGAAGCATAATTTAAACATTCAACCAAATGACTACTCGTACTTATCAACTCACACAATTACATGATGTACGCTAACACAATGTAGTACCAACCAAGGCATTGTTTAAAACTTACAACATTTGATCATAAAATTCATGACATAATTGACATTGTTTTTTTTTTTTTTAACAAAAAATTCATGACATTGTTGAGGACGATAGTTTAGGTAAACCTAAGTAAAATATGGTAACTTTATAATTTTCATTACGTATTAACAAAAATTTATGGACCCCATTATTCCATGAAAGCCAAATTTGAGCAAACCCTCAATGTGAGTCGAGGGTTTGAAAAAAATTGATTCTTTGAACACCCATTTAAGTTGATATGCTAATAATGCATCACAAGGTACAATTTTTAAACAAATAAGCAAAATTCGTTGATTGAAAATGCTGAAAAAGTTAAAGAAAAAAGAGAGAAATTAGAAATCTTCACTCACCAATAGAAATTGCGTCAATAATTAACCAAATGCTTGTTGTTTTCGAGATGATTATAACTTTTAATTAGAGATTAAAATTTTAAAAAAAATGTGAATATTGAATTTAGGAAGAAATTCTCGAGGAAGCCAAGAAAAAAATTCAAAGGAACGTCAGTTGACGTAGGTCAATATTTAAGTGACCCCCTTTTTTGTGCTTCTGAAGTTACACGTCTTACAGCACCACGTTTTATATAACTGTAGTACTTTCAACTTACTAAAACTAGAGCTGTCCATTTGGGTAAACAAATTGGGTTTGGGTCGGGTAAGAGTGGGTCGGGTCAATTCGAATCGGATCAATTTGAATTAATTCCATAATCTACGCGGATTGGGTTTGGGTTGGGTCATTCTTGAGTCGGGTCACGTCGGGTCATACTTCTTATCGGGTTTGGGTCGGTTTTAGGTCGGGTTAATAACAGGTCGGGTTACATTCGGGTCGGGTGAACAATAGATCGAGTTTAATTTGGGTTTTCACGGGTTAGGGTAATTCTCGGATTCGAGTCGGGTTTGGTTCAAGTCAATAATTTCCGGGTTAGAATCAGGTTGAGTCATTCTCAGGTTTGAGTCAGGTTCGATTCAAGTCAATAATCTGCAGGTTACAATCAGATCGGGTCATTTTCAAGTCGGGTCATTCTCGGGTTCAAGTCGGGTTCGATTCAAGTCAATAATTTGCAGGTTATAATCAGGTTAGGTCATTTCCAAGTCGGGTCATTCTCGGATTCAAGTCGGGTTATGTTCAAGTCAATAATTTGCTGGTTACAATCAGGTCGGGTCATTTCCAAGTCAGGTTATATTCGGGTTCAACAAACTATAAATTAATAACTATCATTTTTATCAAGCTAATTATTTCCTTTGACTATAATATATATGGCAATATACTAGGGATCTATATATAGTCTATAATTTAGGAAAATAATTATCTCTTTTGACCATACAACAAATATACACTATATATTTAACTCTTAAATTTGAGGATGATGCTCTTTTCCTTTGTTGGCCTGGACTGATTTGGTCTCCCTAGACAAAATGCTTTGATCAACAATAATAAGATGGTCTAAATTGCATTTAAGGTGATTTGAAATCGGGTCAAAAATAATTTGGGTTGAATTTAGGTCGGGTCAATAACAAGTCGTGTTAATTTCGAGTCGAGTTAGTAACAAATCGGGTTGAATTTTTGGGTCGGGTAAGTAATAGGTCTGGTAAAATTCGAGTTGGATCAATAACAAGTCGGGTTTAATTTGGGTCAGGTCAATAACAAGTCGGGTAGATTTCGGGTCGAGTTTGTAACAGGTTGGGTTAATTTCGAGTCAGGTTGGGAACGAGTTGGGTTGAATTTAGATCAGGTTAGTAACAAGCCGGGTTAAATTCGGGTTTTGACGGGTTAAAACAGGTTTGGGTCAATTTCGATTCAAGTCGGGTTCGGTGCAAGTTAATTAAATTGGTCGTTGTTAACTGGTAAATCGGTGCAACTTGTAAACCGGTAAATTGGCTATTTAAAGGCAAACTGGATAGTTCCACCCAGCCAATTAAACTCCCGGAGGGTATTTGGACCATGGTAAACATTTCGGCAATTTTTATTTACGGGCGAAAAAAAGTCAAAAAATTCTAAAATTGAAGGCTAATATCCACGTTTTTTGAGAAATTTTGGAGGTTTCAAGGCCCGGTGTCGAAAGGGATTGAAATTTTTCGGGATGTATCTCAGGGTCATATAATGCCGTTTGGAACCATACTTGATCATTATTTGTTGTCATAAATGTTCGTGGTAGGCTTGAGTTAATTAAATAGGTGCAAGTTGTAAACTGGTAAATTGACCGTTTACAGGAAAATAGGATGGTTTCACCCACCCAATTGGACTCCCAGAGGGTATTAGGAACTATGGTAAAAATTTCGGCAATTTTTATTTCCGGACGAAAAAAAGTAAAAAAAAAAATCCAAAATTGAAGGCCAATCCACGCTTTTTGAGAAATTTTGGGGGTTTTGGAGCCCGGTGTCGAAAAGCCTTTAGATTTTAGGGGATACATCTCAGGTTCATGTAATGCCGTTTCGAACCATATATGATCATTATATGCTGTCATAAATATTTGTGGTAGACTTAAGTTAATGAATTAGCGCAAATTGTAAACCGGTAAATTGACCGTTTAAAGGCAAATTGGATGGCTCCACCCACCCGATTGGATTCCCGGAGGGTATTAGAAACCATGGTAAACATTTTTGCAATTTTTATTTACGGGAGAAAAACAATAAAAAAAATTCAAAATTTGAAGGCTATATCCACGCTTTTTGAGAATATTTGGAGTCTTCGGGGCCCGGTTTCGAAAAGTCTTGAAATTCTAGAGAATATATCTCGGGGTCATATAATGTTGTATGGAACCATATATAATCATTATATGTTGTCATAAATGTTCGTGGTAGGTTTGATTTAATGAAATTGGTGCAAGTTGTAAACAGATAAATTGGTCGTTTAAAGGCAAATTGGATGGTTCCACCCACCCAATTGGACTCTCGGAGGGTATTGGGGACCATGGTAAGCATTTCGGAAATTTTTATATTCGGGCAAAAAAAAGTAAAAAAATTCCAAAATTGAAGGCTAATATCCACGTTTTTTTGATAAATTTCGATTGTTTCGGGGTTCGTTGTTGAAAAGCATTGAGATTTTAGGGGATATATCTTGGGGTAATATAATGTCGTTTGGAACCATATATGATCATTATATGTTGTCATAAATGTTCGTGGTAGGCTTAAGTTAATGAAATCGGTGCAAGTTGTAAACTGGTAAATTGGTCGTTTAAAGGCAAATTGGATGGTTACACCCAGCTAATTGGACTCCCAGAGGGTATTAGGGACTATGGTAAACATTTCGATAATTTTTATTTCTGGGTGAAAAAAATCAAAAATTCCAAAATTGAAGGCTAAATATCCACGCTTTTTGAGAAATTTTGGAGGTTTTGGGTAGAGCTGTCAATTCGGATAAACGGGTCGGGTTTAGGTCGGTAAGAGTGAGTCGGGTCAACTCGGGTCGGGTCAATTCGAATTAATTCCATAACTTATGCAGATCGGGTTTGGGTTGGGTCATGCTTGAGTCGGGTCCAACGGGTCATATTTCTTATCAGGTTTGGGTCGGATTTAGGTCGGGTTAATAACAAGTTGGGTTACATTCGGGTTAACAATAGGTCGGGTTTTCACGGGTTAAAACGGGTTAGGGTAATTCTCGGGTTCGAGTCGGGTTCGGTTCAAGTCAATAATTTGCAAGTTAGAATAAGGTCGGGTCATTCTCGGGTTTGAGACGGGTTCGATCCAAGTCAATAATTTGCGGTTTATAATCAGGTAGTGTCATTTTCAAGTCGGGTCATTCTCGGGCTCTAGTCGGGTTCGGTTCAAGTCAATAATTTGCGGGTTATAATCAGGTTGGGTCATTTCCAAGTCGGGTCATTCTCGGATTCAAGTCAGGTTATGTTCAAGTCAATAATTTGCAAATTACAATCAGGTCGGGTCATTTCCAAGTCAGGTCATATTATGGTTCAATTAACTATAAATAGATAATTATAATTTTTATCAAGCTAATTATTTCCTTTGACTATAATATATATGGCAATATACTAGGGAACTATAGTCTATAATTTAGGAAGATAATTATTTCCTTTGACCATACAACAAATATATACTATATTTAACTCTTAAATTTGAGGATGATGCTCCTTTCTTTTGCTGGCCTGGACCAACTTGGTCCCCTTAGACACAATGTTTTGATCAACAATAATAAGGTGGTCTAAATTATATTTAAGGTGATTTGAATTCGGGCAGAAACAATTTGGGTTGAATTTAGGTCGGGTTAATAATAAGTCGTGTGGATTTCGAGTCAGGTTAGTAACAGATTGGGTTGAATTTTTTGGTCGGGTTAGTAATAGATCTAGTAAAATTCGGGTTGATTTCGGGTCGGGTTTGTAACAAGTTAGTTAAATTCGGGTCGGGTTAGGAACTGGTCGGATTGAATTCAGGTCAGGTTAGTAACAAGTCGGGTTAAATTTGGGTTTTGACGGATTAAAACGACTTTGGGTCAATTTCGGTTCAAGTCGAGTTCGGTTCAGGTCAATAATTTACGGGTTACATTTGGGTTGGGTCTTCTCCAGGTCAGTTCATGTTCGGTTTCGGGTCTCACATACTCGGGTCAACTCGGGTTTAGGGTTGGTTTCAGGTTGGGTCAGGTCGTGTTTGGGTCACCATTTTTTCGAGTTCAGATGGTTCGATTAATAATCGGGTTTGAGTCGGTATTTCGAGTTGGGTCAACTTTTCACACCTCTGACTAAAATCCTGAACATATTTGATTATTGTAATTGATTCATTTCTTGTCTTTATTGTCACATAATTTTCAAAGAGTGGTCCATTTGGAAAAAAAAAATCTCATATATATATATATATGTATTATTGGATGTCAACCTCTTGTTTCAATTTTAATTATGAGTAAAAATTTAGTTATTAGACTCTTTAGTTTTACAAATAGGACAATTTTTTAGAGACAAAGCCGTTTGTAGAGAAAGAAAGGAACTAGTAGTGAGTGGTCTATAAATTCACATTCGTTTTGATCGTAGAGAGTAAAGGATAGATCAGTTAGTATTTCTCTTCCGGTTCCAGGTAAATTCTAAGACCGTTTCTAATCACACCAGCCCTTGTGGCTAACTAAACACCCAAAAAAAATAAAAAAAATCCTTTCTAAATTGAAAAAACAAAAAGTAAAAATATAATTATCATGACTTTCACATTAGATGGTGGAACTGATACTTCAACCATTCATAACTCACCAATCAAAGGGTAAAAAGTCTACTTTAAATAATCTGCGAGGACAAAGACAAGAAATCCCAAAGGTAAAATTTGAGCTATATGATTCCATATTTCCATACATGAAATACAGGCACAAGCACATAAAATACAAGTGACGAGAAACAGTGTTTTAATTGCTCCAGATACTCAGTTATCTATGTTTCCGAGTTTCTGATGCTGTAAAATTAATGTAATCTTCCAGATAAATAACGTATGATTCAACATTAATCCAATGTTCTCCTTTCATCTCTAACTTTTACACAGCCCTAACTGGATTGGGCTCATGATAGCCCATCTGGAGTGCAAAGACGGTTAAATAAGCATAATTAAACCACCATTGAGCTTGCAAAACCATTTTCTTTGGTGCAGCCTCCTATAAAATGTAGTTTACACAACACCGGAGGGAAGGCGTAGGACAAGTTGCCCGCCAAAGATGCTGTAAAAGCCACAAAATTGAAGAAGTCATGATATGTTCAACAAAAGCAATTAGACAAATAAGACCAAATAAGACTGGCAAAAGAATGCCAACCTTTGAACATAGTAATAACAGAAGTCTGCCAAAATGAAAGTTTGCACTATCTCTGAGATAAGAACAAATGATGGCCATAGTCCATATCCCAAAGCAGTTAGAAGGTGCCCACGACTGTCCAAAACCTGGTGAAGATTGCAGAAAACAGTCATTGCTTGAAATATATGTTCAAGAACCTTCAGAAATTATGCATTTGCTTGAAGTTTGCCACACAAATGCATTCATAAGTTTTTTGATGGAAAAATGATTGCTGTTTCCTGTTTGTAGTGCCTTCTGACATTTGCTAATGATAACAAGCAGTTCGACAACTATATCTTAATCATTTTCCCTTTTAATTGTCTCTAATTCTCAAGAATTGGATGCCGAGAAAGAGAAGGGGAAGTTTATGTGAATTTCTTCATTATAAATTCAAAGAAGTTCAAGTTGACATCAAACCTGAAGAACCCAATGGGCACAGCTCAAGAACCTTGCTACTCCAAGCGCAAATACATAATGCGCCGTAAATGGTTCAACGATCTGAAAATAAAATGAAAGAGTTAGGATCAAAAACATCTAATCAATGAAATATTTCGGTTAACCTTTTCTGAGATACTGGACCTTAGTATTTTGCATAACCCGAAGTTGAGGAAGCACTGAGGAAGCTTCTAAATATACACAGAATGCCCACGAAATTCTGTTTAAGATGTTGTGCGAAGTTGATGGATGAACCAAAACTGCTAAAACAGCACATGGTACTAGCTGCAAAATATTGGATAGAGAAAATTAAAACCATTTACAGCAATAAAAAAATGGGGAAAATGGGACATTGATGGAAAATATATATGTCAGAGTACATTAATTCAGCATAAAGTAAGTGTGGCAGGAAGACTTGGCTTACTAATATAAACACCAAAGGAATTATCAAAGTCCACAAATACATCAAAAGCATTTTGTTTCCCAAAAGTGTCAGATCATGCCACAATGGCTGCGAAGCAAGTGTCACACCTCACACCCCCTAGAGAGCTGGAAGGGTTGCATACCCTTCCTAGTAGGGTTGCATACCATTCCTGGTGTTAATACAGTTATTATATAACAAGAAATAGGAGTTTCGTGGGAAAATGCACAGGGACCAAAAAAAATATCATCAAAGATGGCTTCAAAGATACATTTGTATTATATTAACCTTAAAGAGTAAATAACATTAATTAACATTCCGTTTGATAGGTAGTGGCGTAGTGCCATAGCTAGCAATAGCAATAGCCTCTAGGTGCCCTAACACTGTCCTCTTGTGCATTACTAGAGTCTAGGTAGCTGGCCTACAACACAAGACTACCAATTATAATGGTTGTTCTGATCTTTTAAACAAGCACATAACTGACTAATAATGAACATTTTACCATCAAATAGAACCTTTAAAAGAAAGCGCAGAAGAAAATGAGAAAGAAACAAAGCAGAGCAAAAAGAAATATAAAGACAACTGAGAAAAGTTCAAGCAGAACATCTAATTGGAAAACCAAGATCAAGCCCCTGTGATGTGAGCTGTGGCTGTATAAAATTTTACTGGTGATTTGGTTTAATTCAAGAAGTTAAAATTTCTAGGATATTGGGCAGAATGTTACTCCTAGCAAGCCCATCTTACCCAATAAGAGTGTTTACAGGATATTGCTCTGTTGCACAACCGACTAAACAGGGGGTGGGGGGTACCTAATCTTACTATGGAATACACCACTTATATCAATAAGGTCCTTTGACTGGCAATTCTCACGCACTAGTCCTTGGAGCTCTTCAAAATTAAAACACCAAACACCCTTGATGGAAAAATTCAGCATTTCAGCACATCCAAATTCAATGAACAGAAAATCTACAGGACTATCTTGATCTTCTAATATCCATATGCTCTCATCATCACCCTTTGGCTACTATCACCACTACTACATCCAGTTACGACATGAGAAGGGGGGGGGGGGGCTTTACGAAGTGGGAATTGGAATTTGGGAAGGGATGAAAGAATATTATATATTGCCATTGAAAAGGAAAAGAGTATTAGTAAAGGGTATTAAGTAATTTATTCCCAATATGTTCCCATCCAAGCCAAATAAGATAATGATAAAGTAATAATTTAAAGATCATCAGGATAATGATGAAAAGAATATCAGAGTACTTTCACTCACCACATAATATAGAGCAAAGTTGTCCTTGTCCTCCATATATGTTGACCTCAAGTTAAATCGAATCATATAGATGACCCACAATGTGAAAACCAAGGTAGCTGAATCAAGCAGCGTGTGGATATCATATTCCATGACAAAACTGCAATACAGCCTAACTGCTAAAAATATAGCCGTAAGCTCCTGTGACTTAAGTGAGAGTCCTGCAAATCATCCAAAGTGGAAAAAATTTATTCAAGCATCAGAAAAGATAACTTCACCGCACAAGATTGTAGCTACATCTATAGAATACAAAGACAGCAGTGTCATTTGGTATTTTAAAATAAGGGAATTCTATTAGTTGGAGAAGTTATACAAAGTTCAAATTGAAATAAATAATTCATAAGCAGGTATTTAGCTTCAGCCATGAGTCCTCAAAGAGAACTTTTAGGAAACAAACGATGGCCTATTGCCAAAAACAATCAAGCCTACTTTGACAATAAAGAGATAGCGGAGATACTAAAGTAATACTACGGACATCATAAATGTAATTGACATAATCTAAAATAATGGCACAAGTGCACAACACATTGTACAAACACACCAATATGGTATGGTCTTAATTCAAGCAAAATTTAAAAGCTCAGCTAATTTGTGAGTTTTCAATACGATGCAACCAAAATCCAATCTCACTCCTCTTCTTACTGGTTCTATCATGTTAGCCCAAAATCAACACACTATTTATATAGTTGAAGAAAAATTGCTGCCATTTATTGCCTTCATCATCCACCATCTTCATTTTTTTAGAAAATTTCACTCCAGATCTAAAATACATGATTAAGCAAACTAAATGAAATACAAAGTTCTACATACTATATTACTATATCATCAGATATCATCTTAAAGACTTAAAGGGACAATTGAGAATAAATAATACTTTCATCATCAACCACCTCCATTCTCATGAAAATTCACCCCCAAATCATACACAGAGTCAAGCACCCTAATTGCAATTAGCAACACAACTACTCCACACAGATAGTTACATTTATTTTCGTTATAGCCACAGACAACAAGAATGACACATTGCCTTCATCATAAATCACCTTCATTCTCTTGAAATAATTTCACTACCACTAATCATATTAGATGTACAATTAATACAAACATCCAATCAACCTTATTTCAATACAGCTTATAGCCGAGTTATAAATACTAAGCACATTTTCTTTTCATCATATCTGATATGTTATCAAAGGAGGGCAACTAGAATGATGAATTAACTCGAACTTGCTCTTCTCCAACTTACAACAACATATGGAAGAATCTTAAATCAATCCACATCCTCCCCAAGCAACCGCCCGTCTCCCAACCCCCTTCAACAGAAGGATCCCTATGATACACAAACAAAAATCGAGACAAAAACGCCACAAAATACTTTCTTTTCCAAAATCCACCTAATTGAGAAAAAGAGAACACCATATAAAGCACCAAATACTTAATTCAACACAAATCCTCTACAGTAAACTATAAACAATTTCAATAACAATTGCACAAATTAAACTACCAAATCCCCTAAATAAGAACCTTCAAATTTAAACAAAAACCCAATTTGATCTTGTAATTGATGAACTATTACAGCTAATTATACAATTCAACATCAAAAATCAAAATTAAACTCAAATTATAAGCTGAATATTCAGGCAAAAAGAAGATTACCAGCGCAAGTTTTCTCCTTTGTGAGTTTATAGATAAGAACAGCAATTCCAATAACATGAACAGCTTCAGCCGCAACAAAGAGATTATCGTGGTCACGAACCACCGCTCTCAGCAACACCAACGCCGCCATTCCGGCGACCACCGCAAGAAACGCCTTCACTTTCGGCGGTTGCCTTCTTAACCACGCCATAATCGTATGGATCGTCTTTCTCTGAGGCCTCATCTTCTCTCAATTTCTTCAAAGTTGGAAACTTTTTCTAGAAATTAGGGTTTTTTTGCCCTCTTTGCTGTTATAAATTAATCAAGATTTGATTTTGATTTGAGAATTGGGAAGGTGGTGTAGTAATGGAGGTGATGAGAGAGAATGGTGTGATTAGCTAAAGATTTTCCATAGAATTGAATATGAATATTAATGAAAAATGAGGAGAGATAAAGAAATTAGCTTATTTTTCTTTTTTTAAGTGGAATTTCTTGAGAGATTTATGGAATTTAAGAATGATTTTTTTGACTTTGTTGGACTAAATTAAATTATTTTACGATTTTATACTTATCTATTTTGTAGGAAGTGAATATGATTTTATCAAATCTTAATTATAATTGGATTTTATTTTTATTCTTTTGGTAAATATAAATAGGGTGAAAAGTATATTTTAAAAGAAAAAATGAATATGATTTTGTAAAAAGGAAAGAAAAAAGTGATTTTATAACTTAATTTTTTTTCTTAAATTAGATTAAAAAAAACTATTGGTATTAAAATAGAAAATCAACATAGCCTTTTGTTTATATTGGTGAGGAGTTAGGATAGTGTGTTTATGAACTATGAGAAAATCTCAGTGAATTGTATAAATTTTAGGAATCCTTGGTTATAGCAAGTTTCGTTTTTAAAATAGAAATTTGAGTAAATATGTGTGGATCACTTACAATGATTACGGTAAGTTTCCTTGTAATTATCAATTCAAAAATGGAGATAGAAAAATTTGGAAATTAAGCAAATCAAAATTCAATTTAGGCAACATCTTTTCTTGTATTTTCACATTTAAAAACTTAAAATGGTTCAACGATATAACACACGTGTATATTTTCTTGTGAACATTACACAAATGTCACCTCTTTCTTGTTATTAGGGATTGAGTTGGACACCAACTCAACTTCATATGTTGAAGACTTGAAGTTTAGCCCCTAATCATATTTAATTGAGGCATCAGATGAGTAGTAGATATCTCCTTTATGATAAACCAACTTTTAATGACAGTTTTCTTAAACCTAAAAATTTTGCAAAATTGTTGAAACTATCAAGGGGTAAAACTACGAGTCATGTAGGATTTTTGCTTGGCCAACTTTGTAACATAGAGTGAAACCTTGAGACTTTCACAAAAATCATTTTCACAAAACAATTGTATCAAAAAAATTGAAGGTAGATGTAAATTAACACATTATTGAATTAATGATATATGTGATCATAAATTCAAGAACAAATGTAGATTGTTTCATTCATCATTCACAAATAAAAAGAAATGGCCAAGACTGGAATACTATGTCAAATCTATATTTCGAAAAACAATTTTATTTCGAGGCAATGGCCTTTATCCTTCCAGCTAATTTCACCATAAATCAGTCGTGTGTATACCTATGAACCAGGTGCAAATAAACATTATGCACCTCCAATGTACGAGTTACATGCACTCGGCCATCTGGTGTGTGTGAATCGCATGCACTATGCACCAAGTAGCATCATATAATTCGATCACGACCAATCATGGGGAAGGGGATCACCTAAGCAAGAAATGTGCATGTACAGAAAGGCATAAAGCAAAGAAATCTCAATTCCTGGTGTACAGTGAGCTAGGTTCTACACCCTAAGCTAATTAAAAGGAACAATTCTTGAATTAGGTGGTCCAGGAAGCTGATCTTCTCATGACAGGCTTCGTCTGTTTATCTTCCTCCAGAGAGATCATACCCAAATGTGAAGGATCCTCTAGCATCATCTTTGCCACTAGATAACCAGCAATGGACCATGTCTGACACTTTCGGGCTTGCTTCCCAATGTATCGCCCTTGCTTCCCGTCATAATACTCAGGCCAGTTGTCTTTCAATAACCGTGACTCTGCAAGTTCTATGGCCCGTCTTGCTATCAGTGGGCGTCCAGTTTTGATGCATGCAGCTGTAAGGAGCCATATGAGCACTGAACCACAGAAGTTTGCAGTTTACGTTAGATGCACCATTACAGAGCTCAAGAAGAGTAAATCTTCCTTCTAAAAATAGTTAAAATCCCACCACCTAGTATAAATCTTGTTATTTTCATCTAAGAAGGTTAAGTTTAACATACATTATTTTCTCTCTACATTGTCTAGGGGACCAATAACCCACTTCGAAAGTGCATATACTTATTATATATACTGGCCTTCGCAACATCATGCCACAAACAGAGTTGTACTCTCCAGGCCAGATATCTCCTGCACAGTATGAGAATAGTACTTTAAAATAAGAAAGAAGAAGAGTGTACCTGGCCAGGATCCCCCATTGTGATAGCTCCATCGTGTATTCTTAGGATCACATCCTGTAACAATGCGCCAATCATGGCTTTCAATGGCTGGGTAGCAAACTTTTAGTGGCATCTCACCAACCAATTCTTCCCACCTTGCTTCTATAAGATCCATGATAGCAGTGGACTGTTCTGGTGTGGCCATGGATGAAAGGATTGCAATACAGTTCCCCAAGCAGAACCAACGGATATCCATTTTTGCAGGGCTGACATTTCCTATGAAGTAGCCACCGCGAGTAGGCAAGAAATCAAAGACCCATTCTGGAAGAGAATCTGGCATCACATTGAATTTGTTTACTGCAGTATGAGAGTATTCTTCTGTTTTGTATCGATATATATCATTAAGCTGCTTGAAGTCCATCCAATAATAACTTCTCATGTGAAAGCTCAAAGCATTTAGACGTGTGACAATCCGCTCAATGAACTCCTTCCCCTCAACATCTTGCTTTAGCAAAACTAAAGCACACTTTAAAGCCATAAAGAACAGGGCTTGGATTTCAAGTGGATATCCATAAACACCCTACGCCACAGCATTTGCAAGTTAAAATGAATATCAGGATTCATAGTAGAAACACAGTATAAACAGTCTGAAAACAAGTCCTCAGATCATGTATAGCATATCTGTTCTGTATAGAATAAACTGAGTACAATGATGTATTTCTGCTATTTCAAAATTTGTGGCAGTAAAATCTGGAGAGAATATGGAAAGTAAAAACAGTATGGTTCTCCAGTTTTTAAAACATAGCTTATATTGATGTTAACATCTGTTGAACAAACTGTCAGTTCTATTATGTGATAAAGTTTGCCTCTGTGAGAGCTATGCTGATTCTAATTTCCTACTTATAGCTCTCTATGTCACATATGACTTTGAGTAGGCTTATAATAGCAAGTAAATAATTCAGGACGGTGACTCCAAGACAAAGAAAATACCAATCGGTGAAAGATCCAAATTAATTATTGACAGGACTCAACTCTAACCAACTTTGATATGTGGTGGAAGAACATGAGTGACTAGTAATTGTTACAAGATTTACAGTTATCTGATTTATAATACCAATTGGTCGATTCTTATTTGACAACAGGATATATTGACAAACTGACAATTCATGGAAGCTCGTCTATTTGACACATCAAACCAAGTATGGAACTAACCTAGTCAATTTTCATCTCACTCACAATACACCACTCTTACTAAATGAGCTCATATTCATATGAAAACTGCGCATTTCCTCATTCCACTAACAAGTTTTTACAAAGAAGTCATCAATCATACAATAGAAAAACAGTAATATAATCATGACAAAAAAAGTCAATAGAATCAGCGTAGAGAGGTGTATGAGTGAGCTTACCATTCTGCGATCTATCATGCAGCAACCATCAGAGCAGAGGAGAGTCGGAAATGTATCAAAACCCTCAGAAAGACACAAACTGAGAATAAGACGCATACCCTTCTGACAATCCGGCATTTCAGCTAATGAAGTATCTCCTGTACTTTTTGTGTATGCTCGAAGCAATATGATCCACCAGAATCCAGAATCAATAGGGGCAACTCTTCCTATTGCACTTTCGCCAAAGTCTGCGATCAAAGTTTCGTGATTTCTCACTGGGTCATGGAAAACTTTAAAGCTAGCTGGCATCACTCCTTCTCCCAGTTGAAACCGGTCTATCTTTTTCTCCCATGATTGCAGGCGCAGAGTTTTCAGAAGAAAGTTTTTAACAATTTCTGGTTCCCCATTCATCAAAAAAGCCAAAGCACTTGGAACAAAATCCCTAACAAAGACCTAAAAGAAAGAATGCAATTAGACCTTTTCCAATTACTAGTGGGCAAACCTTACAGAAAATTCACTTCACCTAGATTCAAATATTGTTAAAGGTAAGGAAGTGCACCAGAATATAACAGTGACACATGTTTAAGCACACTTTTTTTCAGCATGAAATCATCAGAACTCAATGTAATTAACATAGATTCCAAGCTTCAATTTAGAGGATCAATTATGAGATTTTCATTATTCAGCAACCTGATATATGGCTCAACATCTTAAAGGATGGAGATAAAATGACAAGATAAAATTAGGAATTTACCTGATCATAGTTGCATTTTTCCTCGGAACTATCTAAGGCTGCAATAGTCCCTACAGGTTGACCACGAAAGTGAACCAAAGAACGTCTCAATGCATCCCAGGCTTCACCAACAATCGGGTGAGGCTCAAAGCTAGAACGTGACCTAGGGGTACTAAAACCAGACCTTGGGGTGTTGATACCAGAACGACGACCAGAGCAAACAATATTTTCTAGATGATCTGCTAAGCGGCTAATATTATCAGCATTTTTAGTTGAAACCCGAGGTGACGTAAGGAAGTCATGAAGAGACCTTTCATCGAGGGATCTTTGTCTGTTCTCCAAAGTCAAAGTCCTTGGCTTATCTAACAGCTTTGAAAAGTCAGAATCTTCAGTTTCATCTAGTGCATATGGAACATCGAGTGGGCTTATATTTCCATTCTGGGGAACTTCAACTGACATCCCAGACATTCTTAAAGGCAAAAGGTTCAAGTGTAAAAGATCTGGTGTCGTATTTTGCCTCTGAAATCCTGCATTCGGAATCATAAAGATAAACCTTACACACACCAACAAGCAGGACAGTCCGGATATGAAAACATCAACTACACTACAGAAGCAAATTAAACTCAAACAGGTGATCCACAAGCAGAACTCGAGAGCATTTATACATTGCCATACATTGTTGATTAAAACCAAATTTTTTGCCTACGATGCTCTATAATTCAGGACAAATGGACCACTTTAACAGCATATAAACAGCTTCCACTGACAGCAAAATCAGCAATTTCATTTAGCTTAGCTACTGCAAAACTTTCACTTAGTTTTTCTGATCAATGTTCCTCTACTATCAGAACCAAGAACATTGTCTTCAAATTGTGTACAACTATTGCCTTAGTGGCTCCTAATGCACCAAAACAACATTAATTGTAGTTTGCCATTTCAATAACAGATACATAACCCTCGTGAACCCTTACACAAAGTTATAAATTATTACTTTCCTTATTCGAAATAAGCCGGTCCCCAGCCAATCATCACTCGACAGCTCTGTCTTTTTTATAGGTAAGCGCGACTTCAACTAACTAAAGTGTGATTCCCGTGAGGCCCTAACACTCATTCAATTACTTCACTTCACCAATCATAACACCATAGTCACACACTCAAACTCATATTCTAGTTAAGTCAGCATGAATTTTGAACAATCAATACAAATATTAGTGTTATTGATTTAGTTAAGTCTGCTCCAATTTCCAAACAACCAATACTAATATAAGTGTAAATGATAACTTTTTTAAAAAAAAAAAAAAAAAAAAAAAAGTGTTAATGATAAGTATGAATCTCTAACACCCAGAACGGTCCTAACATACATGTTATAACACAGGCCATACTCAAATCCTCATTTTGTAAATTCTGGCATCTTCAGATTTAAAAACTGATTAAATTTGTTAAATTTTACACTTTTACATCATTTTTAACGAACAATTGAATTGACAATCCCTAGAATAAAACATCAAAATATAAGATCAATAATATTGAGCATCGTTGTTAACAAGAAAAATCATAAATGACATTAAAATTTGCATGAAATCATGAATAACAACATACCCAAATCATAATGAAACAAAATAAACACAACCCAGGAAATAATTCTGCATGATTTAAATACCCAGAAAAAGAAAACTAAAATCAAGTGTCAAAAAATGACTGAAATAAAAGATGATTGAGACTGACCTCGTATAATAAAAACCCACAACTTCACTGGAGCAATAAATGGAGAGAAAAAAGAGACAGCTCCCACCAAAACAAGGTTATTATTAGATATTTATATTTATATAATTATAATAATTATATGAATAATAATCCCAGAAATTATTCATATACAAAAATGGGTAATTAGTAAGTTTGATCACAAAAACTAAAAAAACCCAGAAATGACCGGCTAAGCCGGTAAAACACAAGAAATGACTGGCTGCTAAGTTTAGTGAATAGAGAGTTTGGTCTATACGAAAGGACAAATCAAATCTGAGCATCATCAACTCAATTTATTTGTATTTGTAGGGGTCTCACTTTAGTCTTAAAAAAAATGTTTGTTTTTAGAAAGACGTCTTTAGATGGAAAGTGATGTGAGCTTAAAAAAAAAGAACTAGGTTTAACAAATAATTGATAAAAAGGACATTTTTAGTTAATGAATTTTTTTAAAAGAAGGTGCTTGTTTTTCATATTGCCCAACTGGTCCAAAGTATTGATTACAAATATTCGTTTGAATAATTCTTATGGAGTGTTAGGATTACTGAGATGACTGATGTATATAAAACAATTAGCATTACGTGTTTTGTTTGTAAGAATTAAGGTGTTGTTGATGTTAATAATAAAAATTATATATTTTTTTAATAGCAAACTAATTAATGTTAAGCTTGGCTTGATTACATATTTAATACGGAGTACTATTATAGTCATCCATGTTGAAAAACAACTTAAACTCAAATCTTGTCTCATTAATACTATATACATCAAAATAATACAACTTATGTATCTTGAATCTCTTTTCATAAGGTTAACAACTCAAGGTTATTCTCCATCAACTTGTTGGTCCTAATTAATGGCATGTTGATATTCAATTTTTGTTGGGTAATTGCAAGTTTCTATATTCTATATCATCATGCAATTAATGTCAAAAATTATCAAGGTATCTAAGGTGTTTTTATAAGATTATCAAAATGATGTCAATGATTCCTATAAGACCGAATGTTGTATCATTGAATGATTTACTATTTAAACTAATCATAAGACTCCTTTTAGCATAAATGTTGTCTAAGATTATATATATTACTGTACTAATATACATTATTTTAAATTATGCTGATTTTGCCAATCAAAGTAAACCCTCATTCAAGGTACGTTATTCCCACCAATTCGTGCTATTTTGAGTAACCATATCCAAGTATGTTAAACATAAGTCAATAATTAGTTAAATCTCTGCATAATACAAGTATTGAAATGTTTTTAAAATAAATAAGAATTGAAGGCGTTAATTACTTTAAACAAAAATGTAAATTCCTTCTAAAAAAACAAAAAACATGGAAATTCAAATACGGAGTAAGATGATTTGTTATAAGCGTTTTTTTTCCTTGATCTCATGGAACCGATGAGAGAGAAACTCTATCCACTAGAGTTATCTCTCACTCCCATAAACAATCTTTATAAACAGTAAACTAAGAGCTTGTTCCGATTGACTGAACTCAGCTGAACTGAGCTGAACTGAACTGAACTTATTAATTAGTGATTTTTAACTATGGATTAGTGATCTTTAATTATTTATTGATTATTTATTACTATACATATGTGTATATACAAATGTACATATTAATAATAATAATAATAATATTATTATTATTATTATTATTATCATTATTAATTATTGATGATTATTATTATTATTATTTATTGATTATTATTATTATTATTATTATTATTATAAAAAACAAAACGTACAGAGTCAATCAATTTACAAGAAATTGGTAGGGAGCCGAGATACAATCTGGGCCCCCACCCCTCTAGCTATAGCGAACCCGATCCTGCTGAAGATGTGAGCAGCTGCACGAGCACCAATATCCTGAGTCTTAGCGAACGCCTGAACCCGCTTCAGCAACGCAATAGCATCCTTCTCTAATTCCCCCAACGAAGAAAAGGAGAAAGGAAGAAAACCATAGCCAATAGCCCTGCAACGCGCCCCATACTTGTCCCGCTTCCGCTGAGCCGCCGCCGACACAACACGACCGGGAACGAAGTCAGACAACCCCGATTGTGTCAAAGGTGAAGACCCCGTCAAATCAACACATACATCAAGGCCTCTATCCCAGGAATAAAGCAGCACATCTGCAGGTCGTAGAGCCCCGTCGTTTCCTCCAATCAACCCAATGTTAACCTCCTTTCGAGCAAAGATTCCAGACCGAATACAAATATCAACAAGGGTGTCACGAACAACATTGTGCCGATGTTTAATACCCACCATCCCAGCACAAGACACTGCATGATCCCCATAAATATCCCCGTCAAAAACCCTAGAGCAAGCAGAACACGGTGTTGAAACGGAGAACAAAGGAACACCTAACCTGTAGCAAAGAACACTACGGTAAGTCTAACCATTCATAGTTTGACCCAAACCCGATATCGGGACCGTCCGCAACCAGGCCGAAGAGTGATCCCCCTGTTGGGACTTCCATAAGGCTACCTGACGCGGAGTTAAGGAGAAAGTGGAATCCGCAGATGCAGTGACCTTCGTGAAATATATATCTGCCAACTTTTTCATGAGTTTGGGGGCAGCGATCTCACTAGGGTTACTCAAAAGGTCGGTCTCCGCAGCGCTGTTAAAAAGACTAAGAGCACCATCGAAGGCCGGTCCCGGACCAACAATACCAGAATGGCGAAGAAGCGTAGCCTGGAGACCAGAAGACTGCAGACGCGATGCAAGGAAAGCATAAAGCCGAACATCACCCGCTGAATAGACACCCAAACCACCATAAGAAAAAGGTAAGGTGGCAAGTTGCCATTGCCAATCACCAAAGCCAGGCCCCGAAGCTGTTACAATGCACTCCAAAGAAGCCCGAAGGGCCAAGTCAAAAGAAACTTGTGCTGTTTCAAAAAGACGAGGAGGACAAGTGCGCATAGCAAAGTAGAGTTTTGAAACCCCAGTACACGCACGAAGAAGCGACAACTCGCATTGGGGATCATCGAGCTTAGCAACAGCATCCAGTAGCACAACGGTCTTCGACACTCTCTGTGAAACAAGCTCACCACAGAAAGAGGAATCAGCACTGACAGGGCCACCCAGTAACTTAACACCATGCACAGGATGACCAATATCCGGAGGAAAGACACCGACGAGACGACTACGAGGGTCCTCCGAGGGCCAGAATACTTCTGTTTTCTCAACGTTGACATGGAGTCCGAGACGAGGTCCTTCCGCCAAAATCAACTCCAAAACCTTTCCTACCACTAAGGTGTCACCAATAATAGTGCCATCATCTAAATACCAAGCTTGCAAACATAAGTCAAAAGAATCCCTGATTTGGCACACTAAAGGATGAAGAACCAAAGCAAAAAGCAAAGGGCCTAGAGGATCACCCTGTTGCACTCCCTGACATGACCATAAGGTATGCTCCCCATAAAAAAGCCTGGCTGGAGTAGAGTAACAGAATTCAACCCAACGCGAGAGAGCTGGACAACGGAGATGAACCTCACGCAGCATAGCCGAACGGTCTACCAAATTAAAAGCATTCTTAAAATCCACCAACAACATAGAGAGACCAACATCACCACCACGCGCCTCAACCAAACGATTAACAGCATGAAGAATAGCCTCACCACCCGCCGACACCTAGATAGCTTCCCAGACGCGAACCAATTAAAGCAGCCCCAACCTTTGAAACTAGACGCCTCCAAACTGTACCTACAGCAATAGGCCGAATACCACCTCCAGGCTTAACAAGTGGTGTGAGAGGAGCACTAGCAATATACTCTCCCAACTCAGCAGGACATTTCCCGGCGAGAAAAAGATTAACCACCTGCGTAATAGAGTCCACCAACTCATCTGAAATAGCAAGTGCAACACCACTCAAACAATCCATAAGGTGTTGAGCACGCAGGCCGTCTCTACCGCATGACGTACCTCGTGGAAAACCCCTAATCTGATCCAAAACAACAGCAGGAGTAGCAATAAGGTGCTGATCAACTGGAATATCCGGTAAGATAGGAGCCGGAAAGGAAGGGTGCTTAGCTTGCAAATCTACAAGAGTAGCATCATTGTAAGGGGCAAGACCAGAAGACGAAAGAACCCTAACCGCAGCAGTGTAATGCCCGTCTGAAATCTTTCTCTTACACTGCTTAATATTACGCTCGGACAAATCATGGTCCTCATCGGCGTCCAACAAAGGTGGAGACACATCAGCCAACGTGTCTCGTACAAGTTGCACAGAACCACCAGGCTCACACCAAGAATGAATAGCACCGGTGATACTCTCTTCCTGCCGCAGTCGCCTGACACCCGAAGAACACTCTCGACTACTCCTCGGAGAAAAGGTTTTAAGGACACATAGAGGCAACACAAGCAATTGAACCCAAAAAAGAGATGTCATCAGGCTTGCCAATCACCTTATCTAGGGCCCCTTTGAGAACCCGAGAAAAACCCAAGCAACACTTAAGAGGGATAGATTTTACCGAACGAAACCGCTTAGATAGCAAACTATCTATTAAAGCAACATCAAAAGCAAAATGAGGCTCACTAGGCACCCTAGGAACAGTACCAGATACAGTAGGACCCTGCGGTTTAGGAAAACCATAAAGAACAAACCGAACAACACCATCCCCAGAATCAGGAGGGGCCACGAAGTCATTAGAACCCGTACCATGCCGACACTTCGTACGAAGAGAATGTGTCTTGAAACACTCCCCACAAAGCCAAATGCCCATACGACGAAAAGTTGACTCCGCCTCTAAGAAAATTGCCAAATCAGAAGTAAATGTATTTTGAGTCAAATCCCGCGCATTCGAACAACAATGGCGGTCACGGAGATGAGTGATCAAAGAAGTTTTAGTGAGCCCATTACCCCTACCATCTTGACACCCATTAAGTCCCACGAACGGGCAATGAAAGAGAACACTAGGAGGCATAACCCCCACCACAACTTGCCACAAGACAACCGCAATACACCACACGCAAACTGCACAAAAAATGCCCCAAAAACGCAGCAAAGCAGCACCAAAAGAGACCAGAAACTTGCACCCAAAAAGCTCCCAAAACAGCACCCAAACTGACCAGAAAAGCACACCAAAAACGAACCAGAAACTGCAGCAAATATAGAACAAAACACGCTTGAAAACTGACCTTAAACACGCCAGAAAATGCAGTAGAAACAGACAGAAAACTGCACCCTAGAGCAGCCAAAACTGCACCAGAAACTTCCACAAAACACAACCAAAAACACACGCAGAAACAGCCTGAATTTCGCCTCAAAATCGACCAGAATTTAGCCTGAAAACAACCCATAAAAAGCCCCAAAAACCAGCCTAAAAAATGCCCGGAAACAACCTCGAAAACGCCGCCAAAAAACTGCCAGAAACACGCCCAGAAACTGCCATAAACCAACCAGAAACTCAACCAAAAACAGCCCGTAAAACCGCCAGCCAACTGCACCGAAACAACCCCTAATACTGCCTTAAAAATCGTCGGCGGAAAACACCTTAAAGCCACTTTAATTCTGCCGAAAAGCCCCCTTGAAAACCACCTTAGAATCGCACCCAAAAGCCGCCCAGAAACAACCAACGAAACTCACTGAAACTTGGCCGGAAAATGCTTGCTAAACGCCTAGAAAATGACGAGCACAAACCCTGACACCTCGCCGGTGATCATGCCGGAAAAAAGACGTGGAAGATCGGAAAATCCTAAACCTACCCAACCCTAATCGCCCCAAGCCGAGAGAAAAATTAAAATAACATTATTATTATTATTATTATTATTGTTGTTATTATTATTATTATTTATTGATTATTATTATTATTTATTGATTATTATTATTTCAATTATTATTTCAATTATTATTATTATTTATTATTATTATTATTATTATTATTTATTTGATTATTATTATTGTTGTTGTTGTTGTTGTTGTTGTCGTCGTCGTTGTAATAAGAGCTTAAAAGAATGAAATTTGGTTTTATATCATTAGCAATATCATTAGAAGTAAATTAAGAGTTGAACTGAACTGATCTGAACTGAACTGAACTGAATTTCAACGGAAGAGAACAGGCCCTAAGGGTTCGTTTGGCACCGCTGTGGTTTTCTTTTTTTGGTTTTATGTTTTATAAAAGTATATGGTATGTGTCCCATAATGAATCAAAAATTATAAACTTGTTAAAATTATGATAATTTTGAAAACTGGCAACAGAAAAGTGGAAACACCTTTTTCTTGTTTCCAACAAGCCCTAACATGTATAAGAGAATATCTTATAAATAAAAAAATAGTAATATTCCAAAAAAAAAAATCAATAAGATAAAATAAATTCCCATTAAAAATTATCAATTGACAAACCCCGCATTTGTTGTAAGCATATTGACCATTAAAAGAATATAGAATCTTTCTTTAATTAATTAAATGAGGCAATAAACCTTTTTAAGTTAACTTTTCATTTTGGGAAAAAGATAATGACAAATTGGTTGGTTAGGAAATTACGTACCAGTATTATATAAGGTAAGATGGGTTTAGGAGGAAAGCAAGATGCATGTGTGTTTGATACCAATAACACTAGTACTGTCCTTTTCTTTTTTAATTTTATGTTTATTACTTATTAATTACAAAATTACAAATAATTAATTTAATAACTTAAAAAAAATTACGTAGTAATAAAATAAATAAAAAAAAAAAGAAAAAAAACTGAGAATTGGAGTATATTTGGAGGTAGAAACACGCACGTGTACGGGTACATTGGATCCAATAATAAAAATCTGACGTGAGAAAGATAGCTATGTATAGCTGCTGCATGATACGGACTACGGAGTAAAGTGCATCAAATTTTCAGTGTGTTTGTTGCATTCACTATGTACAGTTAAATTTACGGCGGTCTATTTTACACCTTTGCCTCACGACTAGCAAGTTGCAAAGGCTTGCCGTGATTGGCTGATAATTATCGACTTATCGTACTTTTTTTGTTTCAAAATAAATCACTCATTTTGACGAAAATTGCCAATATTACATGATTATGTTTAATCATGTATTGATGTATATAAAACATAAATATTGCCGAAGTGGAGTACGTGACTAAATTAGAATAAGACACTGATTTTGAGTTTTTGACAAAAAAATAAATAAATAAATAAATAAATTGGGACAAGGAAATTTTGACAAACTATTTATTCAAAGACATCAATAAAAAGCAAGGAACATAAAGGCTAAAAAAAATGTGCGCACACACACAAAAACAAAACATTTACAAGTTGTTCATAATTAAAAGAACATGAACCATATTGAAAGGAATATAAAGTTTAAAGAATATAAGGTGCAATTTATAACTGGGTGCACCCAAAAGTACCATCTAATTTGCGATATTTATACAATGTCAAGATTAATTATAGGAAAATGATGGCGTGACATGAAGATGTCGGTATGGTTCAGCAGGTTCCTGCCTTCTTGCTGCCTACCGTCTAAAGGAGATGTGGTTCCCCTTTATAGAAACAGAGTTCGCTGATGAATCCCTTTAAGAACCTCCCACACATGACCTGTCAAGGGATATATACTCCATATGCTCGAGTTCCAGTTTCATTTTCTACAGAGTTTGATCCATATATCTGAGACCTGTTGATATCTTTCTGAAATTCAAACCTTGAGTTTCAGTTATGCTCCCAGGGGTAGGGCACTTTGGGAAAGGTTTGATAAAATGTCATCTTGGTAACAAGTTCAGACTACATATTATATTACATCAAACTGGGAATCAAGTCATAGTTAAAAAAAAAAAATTGTGATATTTCTTTCAAGATAGTACTATAGTTCCAGATCTTACAGAGCATAATTCATCTACTCTACATTGTTACAAGTTACAACAATCAAGATGCTACCTTTTTACTCTTCTTTTTGGCAGTCTTGGTAACGGCGTCACAGGCCTCTCTTTTCCGTTTAGAATTATTAATATTGTTTTCATTGTTATCGTTATTGTTGCCACCCATGCTTGCTGCAGGCTTGCCTTGAGCTTGCAGCGCGTCTTTTACAAAGAATTTTAGCCTCCATAATGTAGATTCACTCTGAGCAACAGAAAGCCATGTCAAATGTAAAAATCTTACATTTATCTGACCAGATGCTAGCCTGTGGGGCAGACAATATATTATGCAAACTAGATAAGGAAAAGGGTACCTGAGCATCTATATCGAGGTCCACCTCCTCAGCATTTGCTACAAACCCAGGATTGCTCATGGCAACAATCTCTAAAGCTCCACTGAGGTCATCGGTGGATAGTCTTGTGAGGGCTGTGCCAAGCTGCCTTTTCTCTTCGGTTGACATTTTCCTGACGTTTGATGGTTCAAATTCACATTTAAAATTGCAGAGAGCACATAGGCCAATGTTCAGGCAAAGAACCAAAATAACTACTAAAATACTCTAATTAAAGGTTGCAAACAAGTCGTTGGATTGGGTGCAATGTGGTAATAATCAGCAAGTTTGAGTGATTAGTCATTTAGTTTGGTTTTAGATTGATTCAGATCGGAATATCTACGTATCTTTTGTCAATTAGACATTAATTTTTATTTTGGGTTGGATCAATCTCAATTTGGACTAGAATAAGGTCATGTAATTTTGGGTAAAACTTGGGTTAGAATCAGATACACATTGCTAGGTTTAGTAGTAATAAAACAATAATAGGTTAAGCAACTACAATTGATACATATAGGACAATCATTGTTTACCTGCACCTTTGAACCAGTTGTTCCCTAAGATCTTCAAGGTGAATGTCTGCCTCAAAAAGCTGAAAATAAGATTAAGAGGAAAGATAAGGGTAAAATACATATCTAAAATTATTAACCCATAGAATAGCGTTTTATATAATAGATAACAACAAATACATGAACATTGCCTGAAGGGAAAATGGTTGAAGTTATAAGAGCCATTTACCCTGATAAACTTTATATTAGTAAGATATTTGTACCACATCTCTACTTGACAATAAGCCAAATTTCAGTTTATTTACTTCACAAAAGAATGACCGAGATGTTCAGAGAATTTCTGATATGTTGTACATTAATCATTATTACAGACATATTAAAAATAAATATGGTGTTTCAGGGATAACCAGTCCTGTAACTGTCAAAATAGTGATTGTGAAATTTATTTAGCTGCATCAAGTTACTTGAGTCACAAGGTAACTATGGACTTCTGAAATCATAGTTGGAAAAATAACCTTCAGAAATCATAGGTGAAGCTTAATTCAAAGTCAATTTCAGTTAGGAAACAACTAGAAATTAACCAGAAACACAAGAAAGAAATCATTTTAAATGGCTGTTTGAAGAGAGAGACATCAGGTTATATTCTAAATGAGAAAATTTCAAGCAGTATGGACATCCTCTGCATATTCATAAAGGGTAATTTGCTTTAAGTGCAACTTACTGTCTTACCTGGGTTAGTAATGGAATACTTATAGTCTATTCATTTTGAGAGTACTTTGGGCATCAAATTTGGAGTAGTTTGCAATGGTTTCAGAAAGTATTTCTGTTATAATAATACAATAAAATAAAAAATAAACATATATTTTTACCTTAGTTATCTCATGCATCATGTTTGACAGGCACATTGATTGTTGGAAAATTGCTAAAAATATTCTAAAAGTTTCACAGAAACAGTCCAATCATTCCGAGGAAAGAAACAAACCTCAGTGCTTATTTCCCTAGCCATTTTGGCATAAGTAGCCTCTTGAGCTAGCTGCATGCTAAGCTGTACATCAGCCTCCTCTTCTTCTCGTCTTTTTTCCTGCAACAGCAACCTGCCTTTTTCAATAGTGAAAGATTGATAAAATATGAAAAAACTGTAATATAACAAAACAACTAACAACTGTGATCACACAAAGAATGGTCTAATGATCACTGGAATCTCACCTCTTCCGCAACTTTAGGCAAAAACTGTAGCCACTTCTCTTCAAACTTTGCCAACAAGGTCCTTGCCATGACATGGAAATCATTCTTTTCGTCATTATATTTCATTGCATTCTTGAAAACCAACCTCACATCTGCACAGATCTCCCTTACATGTCTATATCCACTATCATCCTTGGCTTCCATTTGTTTTTTTATCGTACTGAAATCCATAGGTTTTTCAATGATCTGGTAGAAACAGAACAGTTGAGTAGAAAATTTCCAGCAGCTAAAATAACTCAAAAGGCAAACAAAAGCAGATAAGTTGGAGGAAACAGTCCGTAAAGGTTTCACAACAAATCAAACATCTCTTAGATAATGCAATATCATTGTCCATTAATAAATATTCTAACTTCCTATTTGAGATTTTGTGCTCTCCAAGATGGAACTTTGACAATCAATTTCTCCAGTAATAATTAGAAAGACGAGAGGGAAGATACAAAGACAAATCTAACAATAATATTCTTACAACTTCTAACAAATTAACGGATAACAGTATCAAACTTTGACCAGTAAAGATTAAGCAGAAAGGTTTTAGGAAGAGCAAAGAAGTGTTCACAGTATAAAACGAAAAGAATTAAACAAGTGAATAAAATGAGAAAGGATTCAACTTTACCTCATAGTAATCATTCAAACCCAGGCCTTTGACGTCTACAGGTTCCATAAAAGGCCATGCCCACTTGTGTTGAGTGATCTGAAAAGCACAGGGAAAAATTGCGGATTATCAGGACAATTATCCAATTTGAAGTACGATTCTATAGATTGCGGCAATTGACCAAGAGCGTAAGAACAAGGACAGCCGCCATGTATCCAGCCATTGGTAGCAATTGAGGAGGTCCGCATGTACAAAGCACATCAAACATCTTAACAGGAAAAAGGAAGTAGTGCAGGCAGCACTAATAAGTGAAGAATTTCATCCAAAATTCAATGGTTTCTCCTCGTCACACGCACAACCAAATGGATGAAGGACACATCCTAGACATTTCAGCAAACCAAAACTACTTCACCCTTCTTTCAAATACCAAGCACCTTTTTGGCACTGCATAACTGAAGCAAACTCTACAAATCAGATATACTTATTCCGTTTCTTTTTAGATGAAACATTTCTAAATCTACACAATATATTTGTACGGAAAAACATAGTCATGTGGAGTTTGGTTAGATTCACCTTGATTTATACTTTCGAAATATCAACTTTCTTTATACCTTTTACAAGTTGACAATTAAGGATATTAACGACTGAAGATATGCATAAGCAAGAAAGAAGTGTTTAATCTAAATAAAAACGGAGGAAGTATGTGTTTAGCAATAGTTGAGAACTCAAGGGCAATATAGGTTGGATGCAAGCTCCACTGACTTCGTAAAACATGTAAGGCGGTAAGCTACATCTTATGCAACAACCTTGTCCTAAATCAGCATATAAGTGAAAATGTTCAAGGAGACCTTATTTCTATATAACAACTCTAATGTACAATAACCTACAACTTCTTAAGAGCTGCAAAGGAATTAGCTTGAGAGAGTTTGACGAGATCATTCCAAAGGTTCCTGTTGCTAGTTTGATACTGTGGTTGGTAGTTTGGAAAGTGAAAATAATCAGATTGTTTAGTTGGCTCAACTGAGAACCTGCCCACTTATCCAGCACTGTCAGCTGAATGCCTCCTTATGTTTTCTGTGGTCTCTCCTCTCTGTTCTAGAAAATACCACAAACATCTAGGTGAATCTTATGCACAAAGGCTATCGTTCAACACACTTGCAGCATCTTTTTATTGTTGAAATCTACAAGGTTTAGGTAGGCTTTTGGGTTGCAGCTCAGTTTTTGGTTGTCCATAAGAGAGCTGCCAACTTAATTCCACAGTCCAGACACCAGAATTTGAGTGAAATGGCACATCTCCCTCTCAAATACAAATTTAAGAACAATATGTCTTGTCTCTCACCTTATCCAGAAAACCTACTCTCCTACTTAACCACTAACAAAATAATCACTCCCATTCACAGATGACTTATTGAGAGGAGAGACCCAGACCTTCTCTGCCCCCAAACAATCTCAAAAAGAGCTTTAAAGTCCTATACTTCCCATCTAAACATGCCCATGTTCAGCTAATTCAGAGTCATTATGCTACAAAATTACCACAATAGTACCAATTCATAGCTCATATTTACTCAAGACAAGTGAAGAAGATTCTAGAATCAACACAATATATAGTTCTTGACGACTTGACGTCAATCAAGCAAATACATGAATATCTAGTGTTCAGAATAATTGGGAGAAGAACAGCTATCAGAGGTTTTGTATCACTCTATTGAAGAATTCATATGCCCACTATCACCCCAAATAGACTTCATACCTAAAAAGCATAAGAAAACCATGGTTTACAGAAAACACTCGTGTATACTTTGCCATATTTGCAGTGCATCAATAACTCCATGAAAAGTAGACAACAGTACCCAGAAATGAAAGGTACTTACCAAAGAAATAATACTTGAGGACGCAACTCACGGAAGTACAAAACTGTTTCCAATATTTACTCGTAAAAATGTTATTTAAACAAGTATAAACAAAAGATGAGATATAACAAAAAAAATACCTGATTTAATATTTTGCCGAATTGACGTATCAGCTCCTGCATTCTCTTTGACGCAGCTGTTTCCTTGCTTGTTGCATCCTGCTGCTGCTTTTTGGCTTGAGTAACTTGTCTCTCTTTATCCTTGTCTTTGTCCTTAGAAGCTGAGCCACCTTTTGAGCTGTTAGCTTGCTTTTTACTGGTGTTCAGGTAGAACTGCTCAACCTCACGAACTTTTTTCTCGATCTGCATACATATAAGTATATAGCTCATGTTATTATACCTCATACAGACAATAAAGACACATTGACGATAAAGGAATAACACACTCCCAGACTGGTCTGCAAGAAAGTTAACATTGGAATATATTTTAGCGTGTAACATACTTGCAACAAAGAAAGCATGCTTGAACGCGGAACACCTCTAAGTCAAAATCCCGGGCCAAGGCGACACTTGCTGCCAGCCAGGCAAGGCCAAAAGCCAAGGCGTCACTCATATCACATGTCACATCCCAAAGATTACTAATTGCTGATGCAAATGCAATACAGTATGCAACAGATATTGACATGGGAAATTTTGCATCAAATTACACACAAAAATACTTCTAATTAATTCATTTACCTTATACCTCATGGATTTTTATTGTTACGAACAAACAAGCTCTTTCAACCAAGGGTAGAATTGCCATGTCATGTATTGCAATATGCATTCTTAATCACACTGAAATGCAACAACATTGGACATGCTTATGGTGCTATATTCATGCTAACAACTCTTTACAAATTTTCTTTTACTTTAAAAGATCAAAGTGATCAATCACCAACAAGATAGGAATACCCTAAACTAGCAATTCACACAACTCCAATTTCAGAAGCAAACTCACCGTATTGACTTGTGACAACACAACATCAACTCGATTCTTGTAATCTTCCATTCCATAATCACCCATTTTCAACTGTCAATTCTCACCCTCCATCTGAAATACCAATTGCACAAAAACCCCAGTAAAATTTAAGGGTTTCGCAACACATTAGTAACCAAATATGACTCAATCATCAAATTAAGCTTGAAAAATCAAATAATATTCTACTGGCTTAAGAATATCAACTCAAATTGCACAAAGTAAAATTCTAGCAACAAAATCACTGGTTATAGTTTTTCATAACTTGGGTAATTCTAATTCATAGTTCAACTAATAAATCTACCTTAGAAGAAGATAGTTTGAAACTAAAATCCTATGATTTAAAAAAAAAAAAAAACTTACCTGAGAAGTTGCTTCAATGGAGTAGAGAAAAGATGAGAAGCTGAAGCTGCTTCAATGGAGGAGAGCAAGATGAGAAGCTGCTACAATAAAGAACTCAGAGTAAGCTTCAATGGAGTAGAGAGAGAAAGAGGAGAGCAACTTAAAATTGAAAAGGGACAAAAAATGGCAAAAGAGGAAAGCAGCAATTTGCAGTGTCTGGAAGCCGACTATGTTGTAACTAACGGCGGTTTAACTCATAAGGGCTTTTAGGTCATGTAACTCGTGATCGATGGAGCACAAGCTTGGCGTGGTTGGTTAGAAATTCACCTAAAAGCATTGCCACTTATGGGCATTTTTTTGGTTGCCCAATCTCTCTCTAATCACTTTCTCACTCCTCCTTCCCATGGGCATTTTCTTGGTCATTTTTTTTTCTACACCAATAGTCAAAAATTATAATCCCCACCATTCTCTCTCCTATTTTTAACCCTATACCCCACCAATATTTATCTCTCCTACACATCATTAAATTTGTAATTTAGTATTTCTTAATTTAGTATTTGAGCTTGAGGTTGAGCTTATGGAAAACATTTTCTGTGTTTGGTTTTTGAATGTTTTGGTGTTGTGGATCAATTTATGGATTTCACACCTTTAAATAAGAAAGTTTTTCAGTGCATGTCCTTCAGCTGAGTGTGAAAAGACTACTCAATGTATAGTAAAAACAAAATACATGACTACTCAATTCTTAATAATCAATACCAATGCTTGTCATACGGTTCAAGTTATGTATGAAATGACTACTCAATGCTTGTATAAAACAAAAACTACAATTGGACTTGACTACTTTTTGGGATTTGACAGTTCAATGGTTGATAAAACCAACCACTTGACTCATAATTGTATAAGACAAATCTACACACACTAGCTAGTACTTGACTCATAATTGAACAAAATATATGAAAATGTAATATAAATTGATTAATTTTTGGATTAAATTAATAATAAAAATCATAATGCATAATAAACTACTCTACTTTCCACCATACACTTCTTGAATTAGTTCCTCCTTCCACGCTTCTTCAGCTGGTGTAAGTGGCGTCGTTTTTGACATAATGGCTTGCAACATTTCAAATTTCATCTTCTTCTCTTGTAATTCGACCTGTTTGTTTTTCCTCTTTTCCTTTTCCCTTTCAAGGTCCAACCTTTGTTGCCGTAAATTTTCCTCAAAGCTTCTAACTTCAGTACAAGCCTGTATTTGTTCACCAATACTTAAAATTGCACTATCATGAGCAATAGCTTTTCCCTTACGCTTAGCCTTTGCTTTTTTTACCCCGTCGGGTCTGGGTATACCTCCTGATGAAAACCCACCAACGAGAACATCTCCTTCAGCTTCACTGTTAGTTCTCGATCTCTTTTCACTTCCACTACTATCCTCGGTGTCCCCTTCCGAACGCACTTGAGAATCTTGTCGTTCCTTTAGTGACAATGCCCATCTAATCTTCGGCCTCCACTTTGGGTCATTCTTTATCATTTCCCAAGCGTGGGGAAAAACAAAATTGTGTGGTGGTTTGGATGATATATGGAACAACTTCGAGGCCTTTTGAATTCGATCAACTTCGTTGAATCCACTTCCAGTTAACGGACCCGCTTCATCGTAACAATTTGTCCATAACAGTACATCTGTCGCCATCCTTCTCCAACGGTTCTCCAAACTCTTCGGATTTCTGGGTGGTAGTATTTCTGGCTGCCTAGCTTGAACCATGTCGTACGCCACAGATATTTGTCGCCAAAGTTCAACTGTTTTCATGCTCGTACCCACTATCGCATTTTCACTGTATTTTAAATATAGCCCAATAAGAGCTTCATCCTCTGCGACTGACCAAATACGACTAGCTTTAGCGACTCGTTGGTTGGAACCCACCGGCATTCTTTGAGTCGACGGAGGGTATTGAGGTGTCTCAGTCACATTTTCTTCTTGGCTATCATCGTACGGAGAGTTACTTCCTTGGTAGACAGGAAGTGATTGCTCGTAATTAGTGTTTTCATTTGTGGAGGTATTTGTTGTTGTGGAGGTATTTGTTGTTGTGGAGGATTTTGCAGAGAGGTGTTGCTTATTCTTTGTAGGAAAAGTTGAAATTGAGGTTGATTCATGAAATTCTCATCTAAATCATTACAATTTTGAGAAAGTAGTGAGTAAAAGGGGTTATTGGGATCCATATCTATTTTTTTGATTAATTTCAAAAACTAACACAATAATAACAATAATAATAATAACACAAATAATAATAATAATAATAATATTAATAACAAAAATAATAATAACAACAATAATAATATTAATAACAATACTACTAAAATAATAACAATAATAATTATACTTCCAATAATAATAATAATAATAATAATAATAATAATAATAATAATAATAAAAGGATGACTAATTACGAGGGAGAAATTTAGAGAAAATGTAAATACAACAAATTTATGTGAATTTTGAAAATATGAAAAATAGGCAAAATGGGTCTCTATTTGTAGGGATTTTTTTTTCTAGCCGTTGGTAAATTTTTTTTTTTTTAAATTTTAAAAGCACAAAATAACGGTTACAAAAATATAACCGTTGCAATAATCAGGAATTTCCTGATTGGTCCAAGCTCCCTGACAGGACACGTGTCAGCGCCTGATTGGGCGTGCTGACGCGCCTGTCAGGGGTGCATTTAGTATTTTTTTTGCTTTTCCTTTCCTCAAAACGTTGCGTTTTGAGGCGTGGTGAGCAAAAAAAACGCTATTGCCAGCATCACTCGTGGGGCCCACTCATTCTTGGTCTGATTTAAATTTTGCCCAAACTTTGATAAAAAAATGTTTTGCCCATGGGCATTTTTTATTTAGCCCATTGATGGGGACTTTTATTTTTGGATTAAAACCCAAAAACTCCCCATGGGCATTTTTCTCCCCATTGGTGAGAGTGCTCTAGCGGAGTAATAAATTTCGGGTCAAGTATTTAAACCCTCTCAATTAGCTAAGGAGCGCTTTAAGGATATAGTCCACCTATTTTCTTCTCCGTTTCTCAATCTGGTATTCTGGCCCGTCTATCATACTCCCTCTATTTTTATATAAGTGCCATATTTTGAATTTGACACTATTTACATGCATAGATTTAACTTTTATGCGTTAAATTAAATACAATCAATGAATACTTATTGAGTTTGGGGGATAGCTCAAATGGTTAGAGTTTCCTTCCCGGTTCAGGAGATCCTGAGATCGATTCTAAATACTAGTGTACCAGTCAAACTAAGACACTTAAATAAAAAACGAACAAATTGTAAATTTATAATTTTTACTTACAATTTATTGACGGAGTAATAACAAGAAATTTCAAGTTTCTCCTTTTTTTAATTTTTTTTCTACAAGAAATTTCAAATTTCAAGTAATTAACAAAATAAGTCATATTGTTCTTTAAGGAAAAAAAAAATCAAATTGTAAATACGAAGTAAATGCATTCATTGGTCTAATTTATAGAGGTTTTGCTCTAAGTAAAGGTTTTGCTTGTAATACGTTGTATTAAAAATGTACTACTTTTTAAATTTAACTAGCTTTTTGGCCCGTTCAATGCACGGGTTGTTACTTGAGTTAATTATTTTCATATGTAGGAAATTGTTTCATTTCTATTTTTTTTTTTAAAAAAAAAGAGAGAGAGAGAGGGTAGAACCGTGAAAGAAGATGAAGGAATTTAGTTATTAGATATATACACGTGAAGATTGTGGGATATAAAATGACATATTATTTTAAATTATATTTAAAGTCTAGGAGTTGAAAAGACAAATTTTATTTTACTTTATATGTTAATTAATTAAAATATTATTTTATTATGGTGGAAATGAAACACTTCATTTTCTTACTTGAATTTGCAATTTGTATAATGCATAAACACTTAAAATATTAAGGATAATGATATGTGGCATATGGGGTGATGAGTGACTTGTGAATTGTGATGCCATGTGTCATATGAAAAATTTATGGTTTGTATTTTTTAAATACTAAGTATAGATATAGATATAGATAATAAATTAATTTGAGCAGTTTCCTCTTTTTTGTTCTTTGTTAAAACCCTGTAAAACCCTTTCCTCATTCCCCACCCCCGAACCAATACTTTGCAACCTTGCAGCTCCTCTACCATGGCTGGCTCAACATCAACTAACAACGATTCAATGAAGAAGAAAAAGAGGAAACTCGCAACTTCCCAAGACTTACCTAAACCCTCTAAAACACCTCGCAAATTAAACAATACAAAAGATGAAGAACAATGCACAGTTGCAGAGACGCAGAAGCTGGAAAAAGTGGAGGTTGATGAAGAAATTCCGGGGATTTTTGTAGGGCCGCACTTATGGAGGAATTTAGACCTCGCTTTGGCAATTCAAAACAATGAACTCAATGAACACAAGTAAGATTTTGCTGATTTTATCTTATGTTGTTGAATTTATGAACTGGGTTATGTTTGATTTTTGTAGATTATGTTGTTTGTTAGGTGTAATTTACTGGGTTTTGAAGTGGGTTTTCTGGGTGTTATTTAATTTTTGTTTACACTATGAATAAGTAATTGGAAAATTTACACTACTGAATAGAATTTCTGGGTTTTATTCAAATTTGCTATTTTTATCAATTTTATTGCTCAAGTTATGAACAAGTATTTGGGAAATTTTATTGTTTACACTATAAACAAGTGAGATTATTGGGGGTTAAAAAGTTAGTGCCTCTAGCATGGTGAAAGAGCTTAAATTTAGGTTTTATTGTTAAAATGTGTGGATTGCTTGATTCGCCTAGGTTGATTGCAATCATGGTCTTTGAATATGTTAAGAGGAATATGGATAGTGTTAAACCAATACAATGTTTTAACTGCAGGAAGGTGGAGTTAATGTTTGAGTTTGTGATTTCGAGGGCCGGTAAAGGATATGATGACTCTGAGAAGGAGTCCAATACATTGAGTATTTCAAGATTAATAGAACGCATTAGTGATCGGATTCAGTCATTGTTGATCACCTCTGCAAAGAAAATTAGGGCCGGAGAAAAGGAGTCCGAGGGGCCACATTTTTTCATGGATTGTAGATGCTGGGAGATACTCAAGTTTTGCTTGAAGGAGTCTGAAAGGCTGCATGTTTCATTAAGATTATCACGGGATCTATTAAGGGTTATTTCATGTGTGGCTAAGAGTGTGTTGCATTCATTTAATATTGCAGACGCAGATGTCATGGAACCCACTTTTACTAATGTAGAAATGATATTATTTAACACTATAATTGACTGCTTAAAGTTGATATTTTCCTCCAATTGCCGATTGTTGAATGAAAATCTCGATCTGTGGGCAGTGGCTGTTAGCTCGGTGCTTGAACTTGTTATTAGAATGTATGATGACATTAGTCAAGATAGTGGTGTGCGAAACTTGATCACAGAATTCTCGTGTTTGGTGCTTGAGCCGTTCTCCAAGTTCCTGAGGTTGCACCCTTGCCGCAAAAATGGATTTCGTGATTTTGTAGATAAACTCCTTGAATCATTGTTGCACCTGCTTGGTTTGTTGCATGATCAGATCAGGGACAGAAGTCCTGCTCTGGTGAAAAATTTAGTCAAGCTGGCAGAGGAGATTCTTTCTTATGGATTGTTTCATTCAATTCACCTTGATGAATATCTTAGCTTAAACGTCACAGATAGGTACAGTTCAGCTGATCAAAAACTGGAAAGTGCAAGAACGGCCATCAAAAGCTATCACAGACACCTTTTTGACAAAGTGGAAAATCTTGTTTCCGAGAGAAAGATACAGGCTTTGTCTGGTATAGGAGAATTGTTTCGTTTGTTTGTTATTAGTGTTAAAAAATTGAAGAGGGATTCGCAGGATTCTGGAAGTTTGAGGACCATTGAAACTCAAGATAAAAAGCATCCTTCAAAGGCTAGTAATTTGGCCTCAGAGAAGAGTCATACGTCTTCGACTTCTGCCTCAGAAACAAGGAAGTCGTTTTTTCGATTTTTTTGTGCTTACCATGGAGCCGTTGTTACTTGATCTTAGTAAGAATCTCCAGTCTCACCTTCAATCTGGAACCTCCTTACTGAATGTTTACCACACTCTCAAATCTGTAAATAGGATTTTGTCTAGCATGGTGTGTGAAAGCGCCTATCTTAGAACAGAGGATAGTTCTGGAGGGGCTTGTCTGAATTTCTTCAAGATAAGCTATGGTCTATTGATGTCGTGTTATGCTGAATTTAATCCATTCTTTCTGTCAACATGGAGCTTAGTTAGTTTTGTGGAAGTTGAAACATTGAACTCATTGGCCAAAGAGTTCATTCTTGTAGTTGGAAACTTCCTTGATATTGAGTATGGAGTCATTGGTGATGACTTGGTTAGCATATGGCTTATGATTCTCACCTGTTTAGCATCAGAACATTCTTCAGAAAATGTGTCACAACACTGCAAGTTGTATCCTGTGACAGTTGACCTTGGATGCCGACTAATTAATCTCTATAGCGAGCTTCGCCAGGTTAGTGCAAGTTTCGCTGAGCATTTTGCTTTTGTTGACAGAGAGTTATGTGAATGTGAATTGAAGCTTTCTAGTTGACAGATCAAATTTGCTCTTCATTTCTGTAATAGGTCATTTTTGATGAATTGGCCTTACTCCCCACCTCCAAAACCCCTAATTATGTTATTGATAATCTGGTTGCAATAGCTGCTGGAAGTGTTCCATCTTCTCTATAGTCCTTATGGTACATAATTACGCTGGCTGTGCTTGAAACTGCTGTCTTTTCCCGCCTAATACATCCTAGCAAGTTCCTACAGTACTTGGTACCATTTTAGCAGGATTTTTTGAATTAAGCTGCATGCGTTTAAATTGCTGTCTTTTGCCACATAACACATTATAGCACAATTTATTTACAAGTATTTCTTTTTTCTAAATTGAGGACAAGTAGTGTTTACAGCTTTACACATTTTATGTTCCATTGATTGATCTGATGATTTATTATTATGTAGGTGGATCGTGCTGTTTTTGCACTGTGTAAAGGACTGAGGCATATATCATTTTATCAAGGAGATGTTGACATCTCCTCCCTACATTATGATAAATTTTCCAAATCAGGTTGTTTGCTATTGTTTTCTCAAAAGTTTAGGCTTGCTATTTGCAATGTGATTAAATCTATACCTGAAGGTCAGGCTGTTGATTTTGTTCAAATTTTGTCTGCTGACGTATTGGATTGTTTGGAGTGGATGAAAGTTGGCAACTCTGTGGTAGATGAATATGAAGTTGGAGATGTTCATTCTTGTAGAATCAGCGCTCAAGCAAAAATTTTGGGTGTGGTCTTGTCTGAAATTTATACTCTAGTCCTGGATTCACTCTCAGTTTCTGCCGGTTACAGTTACCGTATGGGGGAGTCTATAGAGGAGCTGATAGTGGTTTTACGTCCCAGCATGAGGCATTTGACTACCCTGGAGCAAGATGGTTCTGATGAGTTTGTTTTCTCAGTGCTGGGAATAACTCAAAATAAGAATGTGGAATGCAAAAATGATTTATTAAATAAAGTTTCCTTGTATCTCCAATTCTTCTTTCGCGTGTATGTATCCTGTCGAAGCTTGTATCGCCAAACATTGAGCCTCATGCCTCCTGATTCATCAAAAAAGATGTCAAATGTGATGTCTGACTTTTATACAGCTTATTCTGGCAAAAATTGCATGGAGAGGACAAAATTTAAAGATAAAGGATATTTTTCTTGGGTCAAATCTTCAGTTTCTCTTCTTAGTATCATGCAACATTTAAGGGATAATATTTTCCAAGAAGGTTCCACAGATTACTGTTGTTTGATTTATGTAATGCATATGATGGCTTTACAAAGACTTGTTGATCTAAGTAGGCAAATTCATTGTGTAGAGTATCATTTGTGGTGTAGTGAGAATGGAAGAAATGGCAAATCGGCGGATGATGCTGATAAATCACTTCTATGTAAAGATGAAGGAAAACAAGAGAAGTTGGAGAAATTTTTGTCGGCTTTAAAGCAAGAAACATCTGGTCTAACGAATTTCATCATGAAATATCTTTCCACAGTGGACGAGAATGAACAGCCTACCTTCATTCCTAGTGGAGCAGCTAGTCCAGCCCCACAGTATGTGCTCTTTGACTCTTGGGATTTGGGTGTCTGTACAGTGAATGAAAAAACATTACCTACTGCAATCTGGTGGATTATTTGCTACAATATTGATTTATGGTGCCATTATGCTACTAAGAAGAAGTTGAAGTTGTTCCTTTCACTTTTAATACTAAATTCACTTCCATATAGAAGATTTGGGGAGTTCGAGAAGCAGTATGAAAATTATGCCGGCGAGGCAATGAAAGTTACCAAGCATCAAATTTCACAGGAACTTCTTCGTGATACCAGTTTCTATGATCAAAGAGTAAGATCACTACAATTCTTCTTGATTATTGATATTCATAGTTATTTATTTTTTATTTCTTTAATTAAAAAACCGGACCTACTTTAGATTTCAGCTGTTGTTCCTATTTCTATTCGTCTATTACTTCCCTGTCCCTAAATGGTAGGTCACATTTTATTAGGGTCATTTTTAAGGAATTTTGTAGCAGAATTGCACCACATATCTATATTTTTGGCAAATGACATCATCTAATAGATTGATCAGCCCGCAAATATGTCTCTTTTTAGAACAGTAATCTGTTTCCCTGGGAATTTCTTAGAAACTCCCTACTTCCTTTTACATAATACATTTATCTTTGTTTACGGAATTTGCATCAACGATTCCACTGCTGTGGTGCAGTCTGACAAGGAGACGTTCAGCTTCTTCCTGCCTGTTTTATCTTCCTACTTAATGATTAAGTGCTAATAGCCTATGATAGTATGATGTCTATCCTTATTATATCATTGGTTTTGATATGGGTGGTAAGGCAATTATTTGGTGTACTCTTGAAGTCTCTTGTTAATGTAACATCTATTTTGAATCATAAATAGACAGGGACTGGAAAAAAGAAGCATCAACATTGATCTCTCTCTCTCTCTCTCTCTCTCTTTTTTTTTTTTTTTTTTTTTTTTTTTTTTTTTGGGGGGGGGGGGGGGGGGGTGGTAATTTGGGCGAGGTTATGGAGATTTGAGGATGTCTTACTGATGTTATGTCATCGTTGTTGGTTCAATTTTCAGAATTTATTTGAAAATTAGAGATAAAAATATGAAACTAAAATTATTTTTGAGATTTTTTTATGTTCGGTTATAAGTCAAAATAAATTGTCTTCACTCCTCAGACATGAGTTGATTAGAAAATCCCAAGTAAATTGTCCTAAGTGGCCATGCTTGTCTGTAAAAGACCTATGCATCTCAGTGGAAGTCTCTGGATGGATGTCTCTACCTATATAATGTCTTATTTGATTTGGAATTTTTAATAGATGCTTGTATTTATTATCAGTATTGGAGGGTTGTATAATTTGGAGGGCAATGTCTGTAAGAATCAAAACTTAAACAAAGTTAGTAAATGACCTGGGTGGTAGAATATTCATCACTTTTTTCAGCTTTGAAAATCATTGTTCTGGCTGAGTTGTAAACATCTTAAAGATGAGAAGTTGATCTTCAATACCTCAGCTGCTTCATCAAGAAAGATTCTTTACTCCCGAAATCTGAAGAATACTGTTAATTAGGAACAAAAATTGATCCTTTCGTCTCTTACTGTTTAATCTCCAAGTTGTACCATCTTGCTTGATGCCTGAACCTCATATCATCTTGTCAATGTTTTTTCTTGTGCTAAGTGATAGGTTTGAGATAATACATGATCATGGTCTATTCTACTAGTTTGTGCGCAGGTATATGCCATCAAGGGTTTGCCATGTTTTAAAGAAGTGTATATCTCGGTTATTTAATGATTCGACAAACGCTGGTGCTGAACTTGGTTCCTCTGATTGGACCTATGCTCTTGGTGTGCTTCAGAACTCTGCCCTATTTGCGAGGGACAAACTGATTACTTCTTGTCGTGGTCATGGTGATTTAGTCAATAAACAAAGTGACGAAGGAACGTCATTTACTCCAACCAATGACCCTCTTGCTGGTTGTCAAAGTGTGCTGAACCTCTTGTGCAAGATGTGTGAGATTACATTAAGCTTCAAATCTTTCTCACACTCTGTGATTTACTTAATTAACTTTGAAAGGTTATGTTGAGTTTAACTTTTCTTTCTCATGTCTACTTTTTTTTTCCCCCTCTTCCCTTTTTATTTGGGTTGTAATTTGCAAAATTATGTGTAACCAATCCTAATTTGATTTTTGTTATTCCTTTCCAGTCTCCTTATTACTCTTTGATGTTCTTGTTTTCTCAACCTTATCTCACCTATGACTGCTAGCTCATCTGAAATGTGTCTTCATTGTCCAGGCTCATAATTGGCTGCTTACTAGGTACTCACAGATCACCGTATGTTCATGACCATCATGAGTTCCTTCGACTACTGGTTTCATGTCGCCGAGCTTTAAAATATATATTAATGGCATTCTGCGCGGATAAAGCAGAAAATTGTATTCCCACAAATATTCCAATACTGTCAGAGGTTCCATCATCTATTCATTGGCTGTTGGAATCTGTGAAGATTGTCAGTACATGGTGGAGTACATTGTCATCACAGAACAGTAGTAACTGTAGTGATTTGATTGTTTCACTGAGGGATCAGACTTCATATGTGTTTGTCACTCTGTGCAAGCACCAATTTTATACAGCAATTCAATCAATTGCCAGTCCCACAAGCACTGGAAAGTCTGGTTCTAATTGTGACGACAATCTTTCAAATGAATTTAATTTTTCTGAGAAATTATCAAATGATGTCGAAGTTTGCAAAGGTGTGATTATGATGGTTGAGGTATTGGAGGAAGAGACAAAAAAATCCCTTCTTTCTCTGAAAGAGGCCTTCAGTGATGGAGATATGGAGGTAGATGGTCGACCTGTAGATTTGAGTAAATTGTCCTCTGTTATATCTTGCATTCAAGGATTGCTATGGGGATTGGAGTGCGCTTTGAATGATACCCTTGCTAGTGGTGATGATTTGAAAGTAAAAGTGATGAAGAGTAAAGACAACATCATGTCTAGAGTAGTCAGTTTTATGAATCTTGTTATGGAGCTCATAGGTAAGTCCTCTCGGATTTTTCTTCACAACAATCACCCAATCAAAATGTCTGATGGCCAGGGGCAGCTTAAGAATGGAATTGATACTGAACTTGAGAATCAAATTGGGAATTCAGGTTCTGAGTTGACGACCTTGGCTACATGTGATCTTTCAAATGGTTTTGTTTCTAGTCGAAAGAAGAAAAGGTTGAAGTCAGATAATTCTCACTCCGTTGTTGCAGAATTTAGCTCGTTCAATTACAACTGTCTAAAAATTGATTTGTTGGGGAGCTTCTTAAAAGGCCAGAATCTAGAGGCAGCATTTTTCTTGAGAGGTTTATTTATTGTTTCTTCAGCAATTGTGAGACTAAGCGTGCTGATTGATTTTCCTTCCTTGTCGCCTAACTTGGTTCAAAATTTTCTTGGATGCTCTGAAGTATTGTTGACAAAATTCTCGGAAATGCTTGATTTTCCAAGTTCATCTTCTTTTGTTTGGTTGGATGGTTCTGTTAAGTTTCTGGAGGCAATAGGGAGTTTATTTGCATCAACTAGTTCCATCGCAACTAGAAATGTCTACACCAAATTGGTAGAGTTGCACTTGAAAGCTATTGGAAAATGCAGTTCTTTACAAGGAAAAGGAGCTAGGCTAGCTTCTCATATTGGGTCAAGTGCCAAGATATATACTGAAGGAAGAGATTATGAATCAACTGTCAGTGACCCTCTCTATGGTTTAGACAATCTCAAAGCAAGGTTGAGGATGTCTTTCAAATCTCTCATTGAGAAGCCATCGGAACCACTCCTATTATCTGCTTTGCAAGCTCTAGAACGAGCACTATTCGGTCTACGAGAAGGATTTCCAGTAATCTATGAGGTAAAAAAAGATGGTACTGCCGGAGGTAGAGTCTCTGCGATGGTTGCAGGCTCTGTTGATTGCTTGGACTTGCTTCTTGAATTCTATAAAGGTACTTCTGCTCAAAACTTTCTAAAAATGCTTTGTAAGTTGATTTTTATATAATGCCTTTACAATACTTGAGACCTTTTTTGATTGTTGTTGACTTATCATGGCCCTATTTATCACTGAAAAAAGTTTACTTACCTTAACTTGGGTTGGAAAAGTGTGATAAAAATGTGAGAGTAATGTATGTCTGATGAAGAACTGCAAGGTATGTAAATAGTTCACCTGCTAAATTAGTAGAAGTTTGGTTGTATTTGTTCTGCTGAGAATTAGCAGAAGCCTGTATAAAATCAAATTCAATTAAAAGGCATACTGACAGTTGATGCAAGCTCTGTTACTTCTCAAATCGTGTCACTCTTTTCTGTCCTGTTATGTTTTACGTTCTTATCAGTGCTAATATTCTGGTGATAGGCATTGCTTAGCTATATGAACAGAACATGAACATGGCTCTAACTTCCTGTTTATTAATCCTTCAGATAGCTTGGTTTAAACATGCTTATATGTTGATGCAATGACTAGTATTTGTAACATGTTTGATGTCTGATTCTGTTGCAGGGAAAAACCAATTGAATGTCATTAGATCGCAGATCAATAGCCTTTTTTCATCATTATTTAATATTATTGTACACCTACAAGGGCCCTCAGTATTCCACACAAAACCAAACAGTGTTGCAGTAAATAAGAATCCTGACTCGGGGTCCATGGTTCTCATGTGTGTTGAGGTATTAACCAGGATTTCTGGAAAACGTTCTCAATTTCACCTAGATTCCCATCATGTGAGACAGTCTTTGCGTATACCAGCAGCACTTTTCCAAGGCTTTTGCTTCATCAAAGCAGGCAAAGATTCTCATCAAAATTCTATTAGATTGGACGGCAAAGAGTGTGAAGAAATTGAAAGTTACTTTTCGGTTGACAGGCAGTTCTCAGTTAACTTATATGCGGCATCTTGTCGTTTGTTGTGGACAGTTGTTAAACACCGCAATAGGTATATATTTCTTATTTTTTTTCATGACATTCTTCTTGCTTTCAGCAACTTTTGTATGCATGTCTACTAATCATATTGTAAATTTTTAGTGAATGTATACAGTGTATTGCTGAACTTCAAATTTCACTTCAAGCACTCCTCTATTGTCTGGAGATTATTAACTTTGACTCAGAAGACCGAAAGGCTTACTTTACTTGGGTTTTGGAAGATGGTGTAAAATGTGCCAGTTATCTGAGAAGGGTTTATGAAGAGGTATGTGTTAAGCTAACAGCTGTTATCTGCCTTTCATTTCATTTTGGTCTCTAGCTCTCTATTGCTTGATAATAATCATGATTATCTACATTGATGTTTCTTTTAAAGTTTTTTCTTTGCAATTAGTTGAAACCCAATTTCTTTGCAATATTCCCAAATTTCCATTGATTTCCCATGTTGAATTTCTTTTGTGGTTAGTTGGTCCTTTGACCGTTTCTTTACATGAGAAGTGTACTGGTCTAGACATGGGTTCTTTTATACCGAGGACATGCACTTTTCTATCAGTCCATAAGGTTTCTGACCTCTCTATCATAGTTTATTATGGTGAACAAAAAGCGGACAATATTACAATCACCCTCGAAGGATGGGCTTGTCTTCTAGACAGGGCCTTCTCAAGCCCAGGGGTTTACAATTGGTGATTTAGAATTATAATATTCATTATACTTTGGGTACTTATTCTGGAACTAATACCGGTGCAGTACATTAGTTCAGGGAATTTAAAAGCTTTCAGCTGGATATGGTTTTTTTTTTGGAACTTTATCCTAGTAGAATTCTCGTAGTTACTACATTTGGAGCTGGTCACTGCTAAGTAATACAATTTCAGTGGTGACCATGCTTGTAGCCATAAGATAATCTTTCTTTAGGACATTAGAGGCCTATGAATTCACTTTTGGCGTTGTTATTACTGATGCGCATTGTTGTCAGTATGAGTTGATAGCTGTTCATAAATGTTATTTAAATTTCTCATGGACATCTATATAATATTTACTTTGGAACCTTAATTACTAGATTCTGTTACACTCCCTCTTTAATTTCATATTTTGTCTTGTGTGTCATTTTTTTGTAGATTGGACAGCAGAAGGATAACTTAGGTCAACACTGCTTTATGTTCTTATCAGAATACATAAAGGTTTATTCAGGCTATGGTCCACTGAAAATGGGAATCAAAAGGTAAATTTTCTTTTTGGACTTCTGACGAGTATTATATGGTTACTTATGTAGTTGTGCAAAAATTTTACAATTTTCTCTTGTATGTATTTTTAGGGAAGTTGATGAAGCCCTTAGGCCAGGTATCTATGCTTTGCTAGATGTTTGCTCAGCGGATGACCTTCAGCATCTTCATACTAAATTTGGAGGTAAGCAACTAAGCAAAATATGAAACCTGTCAAAAAAAAATTGAAAAATTCCTTGCATTTAATCTCTTATAAATAGTTGGAGGATTTTCAAAAAAAAAAAAAATTGAATTTGTTAACGCATATATTTCTTAAATTGACAATGCACAAGTATATAAACAATCGTGATGGATCACAGTGGTTTCCTAAGTCTGACTTTGATGATGTTTTTTGTTACAGAGGGTACTTGCAGAAGCACCTTGGCAAGTTTGAAGGATGATCACAAACGTCAACAGTATGAAGGAAAAGTGTGACGAAGGAGACAGCATTCTGTATTATCCATCTCTAATATGATTGCCGTTGTCTACATGATGCTACGGCAACAATTTTGAAGCCTTGCGTTATGCATACTAGATGCACCTAGCTGCACACAAATCTTGTGGCGGCAATAGAAAAGCACAGTATCAGCTCTCTTATCGAAGTCCTCATTGATGCACTGCAGGCCACAACAACGAACAGATTCAGCTGAGACGAATTGCTTTCAAGACGGCTAGCTGTGCTTGTCTCAACGAGAACGATACCGTGGGAAAAGATGGGGGGTTTTAGGAAAATAGTTCAATAATTTATAGTCAGGAACACAGCTTTTTCAAATTGTTACAGTTATTTTAGCAAATCATAGTTTTCACATTAATTACATAGGCAATCTGATTGGATAATACGAAGTATGACACTAATAACGACACAATATAGTGGCACATATATTAATTTAATGATCAAAGAAGTCCAATCATTTTGGCCCAATACATCAACCCATATCCACGGCACTACACACTACACAGGTCGGCAGTGCCCCACTAATGAAATTCCATTTATGAGATAGACAAAATTATTCAAATCCTGTTTTTTTCTTGCAAAAATATCTTCATTTTGCTTAGGAAAACTCCAAAATAGCTTACAATATTACAAAAATACCCTTGATTTTTGTTCCTTTTATCATCTCAATATTGAATGTACGATCTTTTAATATACGTCATGATAACCCCATCTCAGAAATAATCCTAAACACAAACGCGCACACACAATAAATTAACATCTTTATGGACGGGCAACTTAATTCTCTAAAACACCACTCTTCTTTGAAATAAAAATATGGTAAACTACTCATATCATCAATGTTATACATATCCACCAAGAAGAAGTCCCTCTATATTTGATGGATTCACTCTAAGACCTCTTCCTTATCCAGTTCTCCTAATCCTGTTACTAATCTCTTTTTTTCTTGGCATAAAATTCTACTTTGTATCTCAAGAAGCTGCTGAGGCCGTCGAGTTTGAATTCAATTGGTTGCTCTTGATCACCCCTTTACTCATCATCTTCGCGGTTAAAATCATATCTTCTTTCCAAGGCCGACGAAAGCCTTACGGTGTATGTACCGCCGGAAGGTGGGCCCCAACGGGTTGTTATTGCTACAACTGCCGTGCTTATTGAGTTGGTTCTTGTACTCCTATGATTATAGTAAGTTTTTAATCATATGTTATTTGATAAGTAGCACGATATTATGTTGTGTAAATGGATTTCATAGTGTTTTAATATGTTTATTACAACATTTCAAAGGGTGTAAGTGTAATATAAGTACTTTGTATTTCGTATAATACGTGTATGAGCTTTTAAGGCTTGTAAATTTTGTAATTGTTGTCTAGATAGTAGATATAAACACTACTTGATATAATTTGATTGTTTATGTGACTTGCTTTTACAGTAGATTTTTTTTTTTTTTTTATTTATTTATTTATTAACTAGAAATTTAAGCTAAGATAATCTAGTGATAAATTGATAAACCAACAAGATATATACATGATTTACATTTAGGAGTTATAATAACTTTTTTTTTAAAAACAAATCTTCCTTTGTTTTTATATTATTTTGTGTAATTTGAAAACTATTTCCAATTTACAAATTAAAGATTTTTTTTTTTTGAATAAATAAATTTAGGAACTTGTTATTAAGAGAATTTCGCCAACAAAGGCGGCTGTGTTTGGTTGAGCCATGCCACTATGCCAATACTCCAGTAGACTACTTTCTAAGCTATACTTTTTTCATTGAATTTTAGAAAGTGTGATGATTAGTGGAGAAATTGAATTGAAGACATAAGTAACTTACTTTTTCTCATACACTTTTTTTTTTTTTTTTTTTTTTTATGGAAAATTTTCTCATACACTGTTATTGTCCTATAGTTTTGTTTTGTGCTTCATATACGGAGTAATTCGCACTAAAAAATAAGAGTAAATAAAAATAAATCGTATAATACCACATGCATACATGCATCAACGTTACTTTTAATTTAGTGGAGTCACTTCTTGGTATTTTATTTTTGTAAAAGGGAAAATAAAGGGACCACTTTTACGTATATATTAGTTTGATAAGATATTTTTGTAATCGCTTATAATTCCAATCACACACACCTACTTGTTACTTATCCTCATCTCAACCAACTTCAATTCATTTTCTCTCATTGTCTTATTGATGTTAGGTACACTTTAATTTAGTGATTTCACTTTCACCTCTAAAATAGTACATATTTCACTTTCAATGGGTAAAAAAAATAAGATTGTTGCAATTCTAAGTAATTAAATGGATGTAATATACAAGTACATATTTTGTCTTTTGGACGTTTGGATCTAATTAGAGGATAAATTATTAATCCATATAAACTTGAATGACTTTTTGTACATGTATATATATAGAAGGTTGGTTTGGAACCATATATGATCATTATTTGTTGTCATAAATAGTCGTGGTTGGTTTGAGTTAATTAATCAGTGCAAGTTGTAAATTGGTAAATTGGCCGTTTAAAGGCAAATTGGATGGTTTCACCCACCAATGGGACTCCCGAACGGTATTAGGGACCATAGTAAACATTTTGTCAATTTTTATTTTAGGGAGGAAAAAAAGTCAAAAATTTCAAAATTGAAGGCTAATATCCACGCTTTTTGAGAAATTTTGAAGGATTCGGGGCCCGATGTCGAAAAGTCTTGAAATTCTAGGCGACACATCTCAGGGACATTTAATGCCGTTTAGAACTATATATGATCATTATATGTTGTCATAAATGTTCGTAGTAGGATGAGTAAATCAAATCCGTGCAAGTTGTAAAACCGGTAAGTAAATTGGCCGTTTAAAGGAAAATTGGATGGTTCCACCAACCCAATTAGACACCCGGAGGGTATTAGGAACTATGGTAAACATTTCGGCAATTTTTATTTTCGAGCGAAAAAAAAGTCAAAAAATTCCAAAATTGAAGACTAATATCCACGATTTTTGAGAAATTTTGGAGGTTTCGGGGTTCGATGTCAAAAGGTCTTTAAATTTTAGGGGATATATTTCAGGGTCATACAATGATGTTTGGAACCATATATGATCATTATTTGTTGACATAAATGTTTGTGGTAGCTTGAGTTTATAAAATCGGTGTAAGTTGTAATCCGGTAAATTGGCCGTTTAAAGGCAAATTGGATGGTCCCACCCACCAATGGGACTCCCGGACGGTATTAAGGACCCTAGTAAACATTTCGGCAATTTTTATTTTTGGGCGGAAAAAAAGTCAAAAATTTCAAAATTGAAGGCTAATATCCATGCTTTTTGAGAAATTTTGGAGGATTCGGGGCTCGGTGTCGAAAAGTATTTAAATTCTAGGTGACACATCTCAGGGTCATTTAATGCCGTTTGGAACCATATATGATCATTATATGTTGTCATAATCGTAGTAGGCATGAGTAAATGAAATACGTGCAAGTTTTGAATCGGTAATTAAATTGGCCGTTTAAAGGCAAATAAGATGGTTCCACCAACCTAATTAGACTCCCGGAGGGTATTAGGAACCATAATAAACATTTTGGACATTTTGGCAATTTTTATTTCCAAGCAAAAAAAAATTCAAAAAATTCCAAAATTGAAGACTAATATCCACGATTTTCGATCAATTTTGGAGGTTTCGGGGCTCGGTGTCGAAAAGTCTTTAAATTTTAGGGGATACATCTCGAGGTCATATAATTCTATTTGGAACCATATATGATCATTATTTGTTGACATAAATGTTCGTGGTAGCTTGAGTTAATGAAATCGGTGTAAGTTGTAAACCGGTAAATTGACCGTTTAAAGGCAAATTGGATGGTTCCACCCACCAATAGGACTCCTGGACGTTATTAGGGACCACAGTACACATTTTGCCAATTTTTATTTTCGGGAGGAAAAAAAGTCAAAAATTTCAAAATTGAAGGCTAATATCCACGCTTTTTGAGAAATTTTGGAGGATTCGAGGCCTGGTGTCGAAAAGTCTTGAAATTCTAGGCGACATATCTCGGGGACATTTAATGCCATTTGGAACCATATATGATCATTATATGTTTTCATAAATGTTCATAGTAGGCATGAGTAAATGAAATCCGTGCAAGTTGTAGACTGGTAATTAAATTGGCCATTTAAAGGCAAATTGGATGGTTTTACCAACCCAATTAGACACCCGGAGGGTATTAGGAACCATGGTAAATATTTCGGCAATTTTTATTTTCGAGCGAAAAAAAGTCAAAAAATACTAAAATTGAAGACTAATGTCCACGATTTTTGAGAAATTTTGGAGGTTTCGGGGCTCGGTGTCAAAAAGTCTTTAAATTTTAGGGGATACATCTTGGGGTCATATAATGCTGTTTGGAACCATATATGATCATTATCTGTTGTCATAAATGTTCGTGGTAGGTTAGAGTTACTGAAATCAGTGCAAGTTGTAAACTGGTAAATTGGTCGTTTAAAGGCAAATTGGATGGTTCCACCACCAATGGGACTGCCGGACGGTATTTGATAACTTGATATTTGGTATGATTTTAGGGTACTTTTGAACCTTGTTTTCGTGATTATTCGACATCAAAGTTCACTATTTATCCTATTTTTATACAAATTTTGTACCATCCATACTTCACGGGTTGTTTGTGTTTTTGATGTAATGTAGCTATTTTTAGCACTATATATGGACGTGATCAAGCATTAGGGCTGTACAGAGTTTGGTCTGGACCGTAACCAAACTAGACCAAACTGCATTTTAGCAGTTTAGTTTGGTTTACGGTTTGGAAAAATACGGTTTGGTTTCGATTTTTTGGGAAATACGGTTTGCGGTTTGGTTTGGTTTTTCAAAAATTATAAACCAAACCAAACCGTAAACCAGTAAACCGCATTTTTATATTTATTATTTATAAAAATTAAAATAGTTATTATATATTTTAAAAAAGAAAAAAAATAATAAAAAACATGAAAAATCATTAGAAGACGGTCAGTAATTCAGTATAATACTATACTCCAAGATCAGTTTAGCTCCGACAATCATTGATATCGCATAATGTAGCCCCTGATGTTGTCAAGTTGTTGCCAATTATTAAAAACTATAATGTAGTATGAATTTTTTTTTGGACAAATGTATTATGTTTTTTTCCACTGTAATTTGTTATGTATTATTTTTATTATGTGTTATTGTGTTAGCACTTGATTAGTTGGTTGTTATTTTATTAAATCTTTGTAGTGTAATTTATTCCGTTTGGGCGAATTATTTGAACTTTATTATAATTAATTAATATTTGACAACTTTTAGGAAAAAAATGTCGTCTCATCATAAACCGCAAACCAAACCGCATTATTACGGTTTGGTTTGGTTTGGTTTCAATATTAATATGGTTTGGTTTGGTTTAGAAAATTGACCAAACCGTATTTTGCGATTTGGTTTGGTTTATACTCAAACCGCACCAAACCAGACCATG